TTGTGGGTTTGAGCCTCAGTGGAGTCAATATTGACTCTTTGTGCTTTATTAGGTTGAGAAAGTAGTTATGAATAGATACCATATTGTAATAATTCAAAAAAAAAAACATTATTACCTAAAGTAATCTGACATTAATTGCGTGAACTAAACGACCCTTTAATGTGTTATCTTTTTATTGAATATTTAAATTCTTTAGTTACCTTTAATATGCTATCTTTTTATTCAATATGTAAATTCTTTAGTTAGGGAGAGTTCTCTAGAGGTTTATTACTCCATTCGTAAGATTTATATCAAAACTTTGTTTAAGAAGAATCAATCTCCTCCGATCCACTAAACTAATAAGTTATTGATGTGTGTGTAGTATATGTGTGCTTCACATGACATGTAATTTTAAGTGAAAAATTAATATTTCTATTTGAGAAATTATAATAATAAAATATTCGAGTAGAATGAACAAGTAGAGATGATCGTGATTCGTTTCAAACCAATCAATTTGAAATGAACCATGAACTATATAACCTTAACTATAACTAAAATAGTTGGTTTCGATGGATTTTGACTTCTAAAAGATAGGAATTGGAATCAGATAATTCCGATTCCTAATTGAAAATTTTTAAAAGAATATTTAAATTATAGTTGGCTTTTCCTCAAGATATTTTTAGAATTTTTAAATGTTTGGTTTTAATGTTGTTTAAGATTTTTTTTTTTAAATAAAAATTTAAATGTTTGATCTTAAAAGTGTATTAGAATGAAAAAAAAAAGTCTTGAAAACAGGAATTGGAAATTTGGAAAGCAAAACAACAACAACAACAACAACAACAACAACAACAACAACAACAACAACAACAACAACAACAACAATAATAATAATAATAATAATAATAATAATAATAAGAAGTTTGGATGGAGATGATATGATTTTGTTCATTATCTATCACTTCTTTTAATATATTTTCAGAATTCAATTTTTGCAAGTAATGCATGCTCATTTTTTCAAAGCTATTCATGTTTGCAACTCATACAACAAAGCCAACACCTTTAAATCTAATATAATTATGAAACTGAAAAAACAATGACTCAAAAATAATATTGTTGACTTATTTTAAATTCAAATCTGTTCATTTTGCAAACTATCACCGGTAACCCAATAGCATATAAGACACTACTAAAAAAGAAAAGAAAAGTGGACAAGCAATGAAGACAAAGACAATGACAAACCTATCCAAAAACGAATTAATAAAACTTAGAGTAATTCCAACCAAAAGTAATATCTATTACCAACCATACCAACTACAATAAGTATTTAGATAATTGTTTTTAGAAAAGTGCAAACATTAAATTTAATGCCAACTATAATAAACTTCTCCTATATAATCTTGCATTGATATACATTGAATTACTTATTTAAATACAAATATTGGACATTCAATCAATCACGCAATGTGCGTGTACAAACTAATGTACTATATAAAACTACAAAATACACCAATTCTTAAATTAAACGTTTACATATTATAGAGTACACACGATGTTGAAACGTTGAGTGCACTTTTTCATATATGTAATTTGTAGTTTTGCAAAGAGTAATTTTAAAATTTCACAATTTTCTTGAGTGTACCTTTACACATGATAAGATGCATTTTGTAATTTTTTACGTAGTATAATGCATTGTTATTTTTGCATGTTCTCGTATAAAGCTCCCCTTAACTCAGATACTATTTAGATATACAAATACTCCTGAATCCTGATAAGTAAATTAAATTAAATAGTATCAAAATATTCGAACATAATATCTCAGGCCACTTCATGAAATTAATTTATTTTTTTTTAAAAGTCATAGTCAATACAAAAAGCATTGAGATTATAATAGCCGACCTGTGATCATGCATGACGGCATCCCAAGATATTTAAGCAAATTGCTATATCTGAATTCCTTAGATTTTTATTTATTTATTTATTTTTACAATTTTTTTTTAAAAAAAATATGTGAATAGGAACCTCTCCTTCTAGATGTAAAAGGGCTCGAGAAGGAAGAGTCATAATACATTTTTCTTCTTACCACCAATCACTTTCTAATAATACTCCCTTGTCTTGTAATTATTATATTAAATCATTTTATTTAATTATTGCATTTTTTTATCATCGCATTATGGAGTTTACAATTTATAGGTAAGTAATAAAATAATTTTTTTAATCATTTTGTAATAAGAGAAATTGATATCTTAAATTTATAAATCATATATCGAAAAAGGTTATTGATAAAAAAATTAAAAAAATCTAACAATTTGATAAACTGACTGTTAATACAATTGTAGAATTGTAGATCATAATGGAATGTTAGACCCTTATCAGGATATATCACATATCACATATGCACAAAAAGAAAGATGAAACTAACATTTTGAATAAAATAAATTATACTTATCAATGTAACTCAACTACTTTTCTTTAGTTTTAAACTTTTAACTTTGGTGACTTTGCAACATAATATTTGAATTTGATAACATTTTATGATTACTTTAATTTTATTGTTGTTCATTATGTAAAGTCAAATACTCGTTGTGTAAAGTCAAATACTCAAATAGTTAACATATACTTCAATTTAAATAATATATATAAAGTCTACTTATATTATATTGAATTCAAATTTAGAAGATAATATAATAGTAGCAATATATACAACAGGTATTATATACCTAAAATAATAACATTAAATTCCAAATATAACTTAATGGCAAAGTTACACCTATTTTTAAACAATAAATTATCAAGTATATTAAAACAAAAAAAAAAATAGCCATATATATATATATATATATATATATATATATATATATATATATATATATATGGGGAACAATGCGAAAGGCTTTTCCATGTAAAAAATGCGCACAGTTGTTGATCGTAGATGTAAATCAACAACCTAGGTGGAAGATTAATTAAAAAACGCGCAGTGGTAAAATTGTAATTTTGAATAAGTCAGCTTGCCTTTTGTATCAAAGTACATATTTTTCTTTTCCGAGTGCACATGTTTCCTTCTTCAAGTGCATCGTTTTTGTTTCAGTACATAGTTTCTCCTTTGAGTGCACATCTTTGTGCCTTTGAGTGCAAATATTTGGCCTTCAAGTGCACATTTTGTAGCATTTAAGTGCATGTTTTTCTTTCTAAAAGTGCACAATTAATTTTTTCGAATTTTCCCTTATAGTGTCTTTTTTTTTTTTCTTGCATTCTAGTGATCTTCTTTATGCCTTCAAGTGCTCAATTTCATGCTTACAAGTGCATGTGTCTTACTATTGTGTAATAAAATAAAAATAAAAAAAAACTTAACATTCCATTGAACCCTTTTTTTGCCTTATAGTGCATGTTTTTTGCCTTAAAGTGCATGTTTTGTAGCCTTCAAGTGCATGATTTCATTTCTAAGAGTGCACAATTAATTCCCTTCGAATTTTTCCCTTTTAGTGTCTTTTTTATTCCCTCTCTTGCCTTCTAGTGATCCTTTTTATGCCTTCAAGTGCTCAATTTCATGCCTACAAGTGTATGTGTCTTACTATTGTGTAATATATATATATATATATATATATATATATATATATATATATATATATATATATACACACTTAGCATTCAAGTGTTTTTTTTTTTTACTTCTAGTGCATGTTTTTAGCCTTCAAGTGCACATTTTTTTGCCTCAAGTGCACAATTCTGGGCAGTATTTGTTATATCTTGTATTCTTTTCAATAACATATATCTAAATTTCTAATGAAATTTGTGAGATTTATAAACGATATGTATGAGTAATTGCTTTAATAACACTTAAGTTGAATAACTTTCATTTTTAGTACCATAAATTGCATGAATTACACATCTATTTAAGCGCAGAATTGTTGCCTTCAATAGCACATTTTTGTATCTTCAAGTGCATAGTTTTGAGCTTTCAAATGCATATTTCGTATAAAATTTCTTTTAAGAGAGACATTGATAATGGTTAACCGTATTTTTGCACCGGATCCTAAACCTATATATATATATATATATATATATATATATATATATATATATATATATATATATATATATATGTATTAGACATTAAAATTGTGATTTAAAACTAGTCAAATGGTCAATGGTCGTTACTGCCAACGAGCCGGCTCGTTGGTGAGTTGGAAGAATCGCTAGGAAACGAATCTGGTAAGCGGCGGCGGCGGCTTCAACGTGACTACGACGTGCGGCTGAGCCATGCTGGAATTGGGTAATGGGTGCAATATTGCAAAATTCACTTGTAATGAATAAAGACAAATCAGCATATATAAACAAAATAAAAACAATTAAATCACATGTGGCCCAACTATTTAAGGCCCATACCCAGAGTAGTTATGCTGTGCATCCGTATGCACCATGCATACAGATGCGAAAACGACGTCGTTTTATTAAAAACGCGTGTCTCCCTTTAAAAAAAAAAAATCAGGTTCGATTCCCAGTAACAGTATTATGTTGTTCATTCATTCTGGAATTTTAGTTCATAGATTATGGAATTTTAGTTCATTGATTCTGGAATTATAATTCATCGATTCTGGAATTGTAGTGCATCGATTCTGAAATTTTAGTTCATAGATTATGGAATTTTAGTTCATTCATTCTGGAATTTTTAGTTCATAGATTAGATTCTGGAATTTTAGTTCATAGATTCTGGAATTATAGTTCATCGATTATGGAATTTTAGTTCATATGTTGTTGCTGGGAATCGAACCTGATTTTTTTTTTAAGGGGAGACGCGCGTTTTTAATAAAAGCAACATTGCAAGTTTATAAACTTAATACATTAAATTTGTAAGGTATTTAAGTGTATAAGGTATTAACATACTCAATTTACGAACCTCTAATTTTAAATTTATTTACATACAGTTCACATATTATGAACTTAGAACAAAACTATAATTAATTGACATAACACACTCACAATTAATAAATTATGTACTTTCATAGTTTCATATTTGAAGCCAATTAGTTGAAACTGATATACACTTAACTGCTCTTTAACTAAGTACCCAAAACATAATTTTTGATAGACAAAGTTTTGGGACTTCACAGGGGGGAAAAGGAGCTTTATAACTGTGGCAATGCAGTATATACTCACCTGTTGGCATTTGTTGATAATCCAAATTGAACACAAACACCAATCATCTCAATATATGCTTTCTCAACTATACTTATCATCCTAAATTAAAGAACATAAAGAAAAGGAAACTAGATTCTTGCAACCGGCGATAGAGGTGGAGAAAGGACATATCTTGCAGGCCCTCGCCCTTGGATTGTGGTTGATGAAGCTGAGATAATCTTTTCTTGCTTGGGCACTTCCAAGATATGGGATAGTTTCTGGCTAGTTAAAATGGCGACGCATGCTGAGAATGTTTCGAGCAAAGTGATTGATGCATCATATTGTACAGAATAGACTCCATTCTTCAATGGTGACAGCCAAAACACGGGCTTCTTCTCCTCCTCTCCCCTCTGCTCAGATATGAGAAAATCATGGCATTATGCATTTTGAGACAAGTTATCGAAACTAAAAGTTTAAGCTGATAGTAGTGTGGTTATAGTTAGATACCTGAACCAATGTGGTTATAGAATCTTGGTTCTCATGGTTATCACCAGCTAGAACTCGTAACTTGCAGCCAACGTCCCACCCTCCACAATCACACGATCCACCGGATCTCCATCTTTCAATCAGGGATGAAGGTGCACCTTTATGTGGCAAGCCATGAATAGCACCGGGAAGGATAACTACAATGTCTCCTTTGTTATGTTTCATCATTTGGTTCCTGACCATAATGGCTGCAAGCTCTTTGTTTGGCAAGAACTCGGGTGCTTGCTTATCTCCCTGTCCAAAATCAACACTGTACAAGACGGATTCTCTCACAACAGATTCATCCTCAGAGCTAGAAACCTTCATCATACCGATGATGTTATAACCAAGTCCACTGCATTTCTCTTTTGATCCCTGGCCTACCCAACCTCCGGTTTTCTTTTTCATTACAGAAACCTTACAGAAAGAATAAATCAGACAGCCACCTCCCTTGCCAGATGTTGGCAATTTGTTGACAGCAGCAGCTAAAACGTCATTTCCATTATTTGCAACAAATTTAAAGAATGGGAGTCCGTCGTCTCTACACGTGAGATGCAGAAGAGCCTCAGAAGTCGATATCTCATGCTTCTTCGCAGAAACATTTTCATTGCTGTTTGTTGTAGGCTTCATGGTGACAGAACTTAAGGTTCCATTGGGTGGCTTACTAGTCTTGGATCTTGCTAGGGGGTTTAACAACCTCCTCAAAGGGCTAGATCTCCCACCGCCACTAGCATTTGCCTTGTCTCTTGTATCACTATCCATAAAATGAGGTGGGTTTTTGGGAATGGTTTTTGTAGCACTCAATTCTGGAAGTACTGAAGTCTGCTTAGAGGTGAAACTTCTGCTCAACCTACTAAGACTGAAGCTAAACTTTCGATTATGTGATGGATGCTGCCCAGCAATATCCAGATCCGTTTTTTGTGAAGTCTCAAATGAGTCCAAGGATGTCAGACTAGGTTTCGTCTTTGGGTGACACTTATCTTCAGTCTGAGTAGGTAAAGTTGGCATGTCATCTTGGTTATGACATGTGGGTAAATCTGAATTTCTGTCATGAGCATATGAATTCTGTTGTTTCCCTCCAGATTTGCTGCTACTTGACTCGTTTACAGGCAAGGAACATGAAAGTGTAGTGGGATAGAGTTCTTTATAGCTACCAGAATCTCTATTCTTCTCTGGCTCTACTGAATCGCCATTGGGAAGTGTTCTTGATTCTGAAATCTGAGGAATTCCTGAATAACTCCTACGAGAATGTTTGGGCTTGGGTGAAAGGCTAACGATATTTTGAGGCTTAGGAGCAAGATTGACTTCATTGTCTGTTTTCATCTTACTTCTACCATCTTGCAAACTCGTGTCAATTTCAAGCTTTTGTTCTTGAGATGAAGACTTGCTAGTCACAGCAAGAGAATCACTCACAGCAGAAGATGATTTTCGGTGACTTCTTGCAGGCATACTCTCATTCAACTTCCAATTTTCCAGACGTTTCCAGTCAAGAACTCCAAAATTCAAAGCTTTTTCCTGGACACTCTTTTCATTCTCTGCTCGCTGGAGATACACGGGCAAATTCGACATGTGTTTCACGAGCTCATCGCCTTTGCTAACGCTCCCTAGTTGCTGCTTTTGGAAATTCTTGGAAGTTTTCAGCTGGACCAAGTGTGCATTCACAGCACGCCTTCTGACTTCATGACGCTTGTCAATACAAGGTTTGCTGGAAGGGAATTCATGACTTTCAAGAAACTTAGAAGCTCGATTTATTTGCAATTCATCTGATATGTCTTGCTGCCCAGAAGTCCTTCCACTAGTTCCTAGTCTCTGTGCCATACTCCAAACACTATATAAACTCTCTATGCTGAATTTCATCTAGGAAGGTATGGCATCAAATATCCCATGCACCCATGCTTCTTCACATATATTCTTTCCTTCAAAAGATGATAAAGTACAAGTTAGATACATTTCACATACAATAAAGTAACTATCACTCTATCAGTCCCCTTTACCAATCATCACTGTGTGTTTACTCACCAGAGAAATGATTTACCTTTTTTTAGAGAAATGGAAAACTGAAAAAACAAAAGTGAAAAAAAGCATGTTGAGGAGGTGATTTGTTAGGTAAAAAGAGTGAATAGTATTGAACTAAAACCAAATTTTGTTCAGTTCTTTGGGTCAAAGAAGAGTAATCAAATTCAAAGAGGCCAGAGACAAATCCATTAATATCACAGCACATATCAGATTGACAAAGAAATGAAAATTGCCACAAACAATAACTAGAAACATATGAACTAGGATGAACACAAAAAACTCGCAACCACTACTGAGGGTGTGAATTGAGTAAACCTCGCTTTATGATCCTAGCTGGCAAAGAACTACAAACCAGTTTAGGTTGGCCACCGGCTCAAACCAAGAAAACTAATAGACAACTTCTATTGGGAGTTGAACTTATAACCGTGTGGTTTCCAAATCAATTGCTTAAACCATTTGGCTGGGGTTGCCCTCCTATTTACTACTACTAAAGTTAAAACCAGAATAAGAATACCATCAAGCAAGAGAATTCACATATACAAACAGAAAACTACAAAAGCACATGCTGTTATTGAATGCTCATTAGGACAAAGAACATCAACGCGGTTTACATACAAACAGGAACAATAAATAGAAGCATTTCTTGCCCAACTAGACCCACAGTACCCCCAAGAGTATCCACCAACCAAGTAGGCCAGAAATAATCCCCACTTCCCCAATACCTCCGACCCAAATGTTTCAAGGGTCTCGAAAATCAGTTCATACAAGGATGAAGGTTCGATCTTTCTCCAAGATTAGAGCACCCAACTGGAAAATAACCACACCCGGAACAAGAAACTTCATCAAGAATGAACACAGCAACAATTAGCAGACAGTAAAGTTCAAGAAAATACGAGAACTGAGCTAAAAGTGAGCCAAGAACTGTAGTAATTAAAAAAATATGAAGCCAAAAGCAGTATCTCATCGGAAACAAGTTTTAGAATCATTACTTTTGTGAATGAAGTATGACGAAATGAAGGTTGGGAAGAGAAATGTGCTTACACTAAACGCGAAGAAAGGAATTGTAGGGGGGGAATTCAGAGCAAGAACTCTTCTTGGGATTTACACAAACGCGTATCCTTCAGACTTCAGAGCCGGAAAAGACAAGGAATCAACAAACATGGCGGCATTGAGGGGAGAGAGAGAGAGGTGGAGAAATACCCGCGAAATATATACGACAATGATCATAACGAACGGAGAGAGATTGAGGAGCGTTTCATTTTCATGTTTCAACCGAACGGTTAAAGGTGGAGAGAGACCGTGCCACAGTGCAATTACAGAAAAATGAATTCCTATATATACAAATTGTAAGATAAAGTAAAGGAAAGCCTATCAATGTAAATAAGAATAAACTAAATATACATAACTAAATTAAAGGTATGATATATGCTAAAATATATGTTAGCATGTGTTTTGTGTTGTGACTTTTTGTGTTTTAAGTTATAAAATTTTGTATATTGAAACAAATTAATAATTGTGTCTGATGTTATGAATTTTTGTGTCTTATATTATGAAATTTTGTGTTTTGAGATCACAAATTAGGTACCTAAATTAAATTTAAAAAAAGAAATATATAACATGTATATGTGTCTTGTATTATGATTTTTTGTATCTTATGTTATGAAATTCTGTACTTTACAAATATGAATTTTGTACCTCATCGTTTCAATTCAGAGTCTATAATTTTGTTTTGTGTTGTAATTTTTTGTATTGTGTTATGAAAGTTTGTACCCCACAATTTCAATTTAAGTTTTGTAATACTATATGGAGGTCCATGATATAAAATTATAAATTGGTGGTGGAGGTGGGGCAGGAGGAAATGGGGTCCACCGATTGTCAACATTTCAAAGTTGACTGTGGGCCCAGGTCTGGCCAACCTATCCTGGATTCCCTATGTTATTGGGTGCTTCTGTTCAGTTTTCTAGTCTGTCTTGGGCACGGGATGCTGCATGAGCTGCTAAACATCATGTGAATATATATTGTAGTGTACTCTATAGTCTATACCACCTTGCTATCTTGTCTTCATTATCGTACGCTGTGTTTAGTCAAGTTATAAACTCATATATATTGCTTTTGTATGCATGTGTACATCTATACAGTAAGAGTTCTGCATTCAAAAAAAAATACAGTAAGAGTTCTACTATATATATATATATATTTTATTTTATTTATATTTTTGAGGTGCTGAATAATCATTAGTTTATAAGGTGTCTAATTTTTAATTATTCTTCTCTTTCAACCAATCAATAAATTTTATTTTTTTTAAAGAGAGAAGTAGGCTTTCCGAATATTAATTATCCTTACATGTCCCACGTTTTCTTTTCTATGATTTTTCTTTAATTCCAACTTTTTTTTTTGGTCTCATTTTCTCAAGGGCGGTGGACTACTGGTCGAATGACATGGAAACCATTAACTTTGTCTATGTACAATGGTTGAAATTATTAAATATTATATAGTAGTGTTTTGTCTTGTATATATATAATCCTTTAAAAAATGAGTCATTGTCAGCGTGGCATATTTTGGACATTTTGTTAAAAGAGGTAGAAAATGTGGCATGGCATATTGCTTCAAATAATCGGATATAGTAATGGCACGTTCTTTCATGTGTATACCACTAGTCCTCATGTCTCTTTGCTTTAAACATAAAACACTTCACATAAAACCAACATATTGTAAAGAATATGTAAAAGATACATCTTAACCTTAAATTTAGGCAGACAACTTTGAAACTACGTCTCAAATTTCTAGGAGTAAAACTAGTGAAGTGTTATCGGTGGTATTTTTCGTAAAGAATATGTAAAGATACATCTTAACCTTCAATTTAGGTAGACATAGCTTTGAAACTATGCCTAAAATTTCTTGGAATAAAAAAGTCAATGAAATTAGTGAAGTTACTGGTGGTGATATTACTGGCAAATTATACCATGGACCAGAGTTTACCTTGCATTATAGACCGTGGTCTAAAAATAACATTCAGATTCTGAATCTATAGTTGACACATCATGTACCTGTCCCAGGGGACAACTTCATTCTTTGGCATTCACGTCCTCTCATTGTCTTATGGTCTCCGTTCCCCTCTCCGCCATTTGTTTTAACCCTCCTCAACCATTATGAAATTAGTCTGGGTCAATTGGTTCCAAATTCTCACGATATGCTACTAGCTTTCCTCTTACGGTGTAGGGAAATTCACGTCACTCCCTACTTGGATTTATCCAATTACCTTTTTCAAGTCACAAGTTCCTCGGCCCCCGCTTGTCAATGACGAATGCTCTTGGGAGTATGCTTAGATCCTTTTAAGGTGCACTCTTTATGTAGGATGTATTCTTTTTTTTTTTTTTTTTAGTACTATTGACTCTTTATGTTGGATGTATTCTAAAGTGTGCATTTGGTAAATTATACTCTTATGTAATAATTCGGTTTACAAACCATATAGGAGAAACAAACATCACTAGGAAAATTTTGTACAATGTGATTTGACCAAGAAGGTATATATGATATTAACAAAAATCAAATTTATGACATTTTGATATGAAAATCATATTCTGCCCACTATAAAAGTATAAATTATATCAAATAATACAAAAGATATGTTATCAAAAATATTTTCCGAATTATAATGAAAGAATTGCCTTTTGTTTGGTAGTGAATGATTTTGGCGCCAAAAGAATCTAATGGTAAAAATGGGAATTGAATCTAATTAATATATTTAGACTAGCACCCTAGCAAGATAAGGATTTCATTGCTCGCATGTCAAATATGCACTCCTTAATTGATGTTGAAAAGACCAAAATAGAATATAAAAATAAATCTGCCATACTTTTCTTTTGAAGGGAAAGATGTTTTTCAGTTTTTTTCACATCAAAATCAAAATCTATATTAGTATATTACGAATCTTGCTTTTAATTATTGTAATCCTCTATATATTATACATAGTACATAACACAAGATTTAAAGAGAAAGTGCTCATAATTACGAGGGACCAATTACGGGTAACGTCGTAACATTATATCTTAAAATTATTTTATTTGTTTATGAAATAATGGTTCATTAGTGTACTGATAGTAAGGACGGGGATTAGTCTTCTGGCTACCGACCAACTAAAAAAATAAAAAAATAAAAAAATTAGAAAACAATATAATGTTTTCCATTATGGGTACTAATTATGGTGGAGTTAATACCTAAAATTGTCCTCGACTATAGTGGTTTTTCTCAATTTCGTCTTAAACGACTTTGGTGACCTAATATAGTCCCAGACTTTTGTGTTTCGCTCAATTTAGTCCTCCGTTTGTTATTCCGTCAAATTGGTGTTAATAAAGGGACAATTCAATAATATCAATATTGACCTCTCTTTACTTTCAACCTGCGAAGTGAGAAATATCTCTTTCTTACACGAATTACACCCAGAGTTACTCTCAGACCTACGAATCAAATTTTATATTCACAGCTTTAGAAGTGATTCTGGGAGTAATTCGTAAAAAAAAGAGGGATTTCGCACTTCACATGTCTATGAATAAAGAGATGTCAATATTAAAATTACTGAATATTCTATTTATTTAACAACAAATAGACGGAATAACAAATGGGGGATTAAATTAAGCAAAAATACAAAAGTCTAGAACGAAATTGAGTAAAAACACAAAACTCTGGGACTATATTAAGTCACCAAAGTCGTTTAGGACAAAATTGAGAAAAACCACTATAGTCGAAGACAATTTTAGGTATTTATTCAATTATGGTGCAAGTTTAATAGACTAATTATGGTCACTATAATGATGACATGTAAGTTATACAAGTCCTTTCCCGATTACTGCATATATACACATCTTTACATGCTAAAGCTTATACACAATTATGATGGGAGGTGACTCGATTTTATCGCTTCTACTATTAGATTAGATTAATTTGCAATTTTACATGTAAGGTACATGCATATAATTTTGTATATATATATATATATATATATATATATATATATATATATATATATTTTTTTTTTTTTTAATAAATTAAAGAATAGTTGGGATTGTAGATGGCAGGGTAAAAGAGAATGTTGCATGCCTGTCTAGAATGTGAAATGAATAATCATTCCCCTTTATGAACTTTTGACGATTTCTTTTTGGCAATTTTAATGTTGGATGTTGGAGTGCATTAAGGTTGTGGGCGATCTGTTGTTAAAAGCTAAGGGCTAAGAATCAATTAATATACTATATATGCTTAGGAGCGGCTGAGACAAAATGATTACGAAATTGAGTGATTAGCTGAAACTTTTGTTCATTAATTAAAATCCAGGCCACTCTCGCTTAGCTTTATTAATTAAAGTGTTAAACTATTTAAGTCTAAAGTATTAAACTATTTAAGCCAAAAATATTGTGGTCAATCGGCATAATTGTGACTCTTGATCTCAAATAGGAAGAAGGTCTCAAGTTTGAATTTCAGTAGAGACACTGACTCTTTGTATTTCAATAGGCAGATACTATATTGTATCTTAAATAGGAGGAAGATCCCAAGTTTGAATCTAGTGAGACAGTGACTTTTTGTACTTTAATAGACAGATACTACATTGTAATAGAGTCAATAGTACTATCCACTAATTAAAGCCTATAAGGTCAAAATTTATTGAAAAAAATTTCAGATGGGGTATTGTATAGGAAAAAGAAAAGCATTTTTACTCCTTTGTCTGTTGTCGTCTGTCATTATAATTAAATTATTTATTGTGAAGAATTATTACAAAAGCATTATTTACTGGTCATTGTAATCCACTAATTGTGATATAGTGAACCATGATCCACATTGTAAGTTCATGATGGACTATAATCTACATTGTAAAATGAAATACTAACATATAATAAGTTCATTGTTAGTATATTATATGCTATTTTTACCGTATTACAAGTTTATTTTTAATAGATTTATTATATTTTGATACACGTTCATTTTTAGCGTATTGCAAATTCATTTTAGATATTACCTAGAATCTGTAATATATTCGCAATGAAGCTGTAATATATTAAAAGTTAATGAAATGTATTAGTGATCGGTCATACAATATATATACCATGTTCTATTGTATAATTGCCGTAATCTACCATGACCTTCAATTTCATAGTTATCCTGTTGAATAGTATATGTCATAATAATCTGGTCATGAATCTAATGCGTAAAGCCCATTTTTTAAAGACAAACAATCCGGCCCCAAGGATCTACATTGCATTGTAGACCTTGATCTAAAAATAATTTTCAAATTCTGTATTTGCATGCAGTTGATAGTTTATGTACCTGTAGCTATCATATTATGGTTCAAAAACAACATTTAGATTCTGTATCTATAGTTGACACATTCTGTACATGCAGTTGATAGTTTTTGTACCTATAACTATCATATTATGTGTAAGCAATTATCAAGTTATTTGTTTATATGTACATAAACTGTTAATAGGTACAAAATGTTGTTAATTGAAAGTACATAATTTTTGTATCATAGTTCACAATGCAATATGAGCTGGTCCATGGTATACCAATTGGCCCATAACATAGGTTATAGTAATCTGGTCATAAATCTAATGCATGCGTAAAGCCCATTCTTAAAGACAAACAATCCTATATTTGTTTTCCGCACATCTAAGTTATAAATAATATGTTTTATAAATCTTATAAGTAAAGCACATATTTGCAAGCAGCTAAAACATTCCTATTGATTTGATTACAATTTGTTTGAAGTTTGAACTTATATCAATCTTACATTTTAACTTCTTCAAAGTGCTCCAAACTGGTCCAAACAATTACTTTACCAAACAACTACTTTATCGTTTTGACTATGGTTAAAATGTCAAAGACAACGGATCCATCAACAACCAAACTTGTCCATCATTCCCTTTCTCATTGGCAAATTATATCATGCATCTCAAAGTCCATATTGTAAAATATGATTGATCTTAATATATATTCATTTTTAATATATTACAAAATCATTTTTAGTGTACTACTTATTATTTTTAATAAGTTCATTATCTTTTGATTCATGTTTATTTTTATTATACTGCAAGTCAAAATTAACATATGATATATTAAAGATAAACATATATCAAAGATTCACCTTATTACATAAACTTTTGTTTATGGTGTAAGCATTAACTCTGACTAGGAAGGGATGTAAATAGGGTTGGCATTTCATGTCCTATGCATTATTTCTTCAGCAAATTACTGTTAATGAACATGGTTTTCTACACAATTTACATTAAAAAAAAAAAAACTAATGTACATAAATCAAATCTTATAAACAGAAAATACTTTTATTTACTATTTAATTGACGCTAATAAATAAAATAATGATATTGTCCTTAATCACAAAATCTAAAACATATATGTTTAAAGCATGTTTTTATACTATGGGGTTGTCATAGTACATACTCTCGTGGAGGAAGATTTATATATTCTTAATTTTTTTGGTTTATGTAAAATCTAAAATTTTTTGATGCCTTCTTCCAATATTAGTATATCACACATCATGATATATAAGATCAAATAAATATAAATTATTGTGCCTAGTGTTTTTGTGCTGCACAAATTTCAATTGTTGAGCATAAAATATAACATAAACATAAATGTGCAATCCAACTATTAGTCTATTAGTTTAGACTTTTAGTTGAGATGGTGCAAATGTTTCAATTTTATATCAGAGCCTAAAGAAAAAAAATAATATGGTCCACGTGTTACTCGGAGCCCATCAAAAAGCTTAGGCTTTGAGAGTCCGAATCCGATTAGTTTGAGTAGGGCTGTCCCATTATAATTTAAACTTAGCTTGACTTTATGGAAACAATTAAATGAATTGCTCCAAATTTCTACCATTAGTTGAAACTACTCCTCATCATTGCCAATATATGAATGATGACCAGTCCTTGAGCTCAAATCATGAACCCAACTGTTCTCCATTACAATTAAAGTTTCTTACTTTGCTTTCAATTCACCACACCAATTCAATACAAATAACTACCCCCACAACTCCATACACTCCACAACTTTTTCCCCTTCACAGAATGCTCCCCATTCCAATTCTTCCCGGTATGAATTCTCACCCGGAATCGCAATGCTCAAGCTTAAGCTACTGGATATCCTATGCGATGAGATTTTTCCCAGGATGGCCGGAATTCGAAGCTCCAGGGAGCTACTGGCTCTCCCTGTGTCTGCTCTTTTTGCTTGCTTTTTCGGCCGAGTTTTGCTCTCTGATGAGCAGGATCAAGAAGCAGGAAATGGGGTTGAAGTCCCTGTTGTACGATGCTGGAGTTCATGCACTGAGGGTGTTCATGGCTTATCTGGTCATTATCTCTATCATCACCACAGATTTCTCGTTTTTCCTGGCTGCAGTCTTCGGCCATGGCGCCGGTCATCTCGCTTCCGAGCTTTACCAGTGTCATATGGACCAAGAGATGAACACACGCTTACCTGGTACCTTGTCTGATGGTTTGGTTACAAAAGTTTGTATTTCGTCTGATCATTAATAAATTGCTTCTATTCATGTAGTGGTTGTCAGGGCCGTTCCAATAAAAATTGGAGTTGTGTGATATTTTAATTTGGCCTTTTAAAAAAAAAATTAATATTAATTGTTCAACAAATTATGTTAAAATATAAATATTGTATAAAAATACATCTAAAATTTAATTTAAAAAGTGACATGCCCTATGCACAGTTAGACGCAAAATCAAATTCACTAAACTCTTGATATCAACTTTTTCCAAAATCTTTTTTTTATTTATTTTTATAGAGATTAAAACTAAAAATGGTTATTAACAATCTTAAATCTTTCTCTCAACAAAAAAATCTTAAATCTTAAATCTTAATTAAAAATGGTAATTACCAATCTTTTTTAGTACGGTAATTAACAATCTTGTATAGTATATATATATATCGCACACGCACATTAAGCACACAAACAAAAATAAATGTTCTTAAAAGCAGTATATGTCTCATCTCTGGAAAGAAATGGCGTCAGCTTCGGTTCTCAAGTCGTCATCTAAAATATAGGCACCAGAATATTCCATTTGGGATGTGCAGCTCTCAGAAGTATGCATTAGCACCTCTGCAGCACCAACTTATCTACCAGCCCACTATTTCAAGAACAACGATTCTCAAGGAAGGGAACGAGAATTCAACCTCGTTGATGGCGGGGTGGACGCAAATAACCCTACAACAACACCGTTCTGAAACTATACATTTATCTCCTCCTTTCACCGGTTCTGATCTAAATCCCTCGGCTCTCTACCACAAACAGTGAAAGGTTAAGTACACACTCACGCACATTAAGCACACAGCTCACGCATCTTAGGCACAAGACTCACGCACCGTAAGTACAAAACTCACGCACATTAAGCACTATACACTCACGCACATTAAGCACAAAACTCACGCACCTTAAGCGCAAGAGTCAAGCACATTAAGTATAAAACTCACACTCATTAATCACCCGCACAACCGCACGAGAAGCATTCACCCGCACTGAAACCCGAGTCTATATATATATATATATATATATATATATATATATATATATATATATATATATATATATATATATATATATATATATATATATATATATATATATATATATATTATTTATTTATTTAAATATGGGCCCCAAAATTGGGGGCCCTGGGCAAACATGCCCAGGCCCTGGTACTGGTTGTGTAAGAAGAGAATGCATTAGTGAGTAGTGTTGATATCTTAAATTAAAAGAATCCGATCCAGACAGGAGGATTTGCAGATTAAATGATCATGAATACCTGAAGAATTGACATTAATAACATCAAATGGCAGAGACAAACTCATTCTTATGATATTATTGGTCATATTTATAATTCACATATTATTATTATTATTATTATTATTATTATTATTATTATTTTTAGTTAATTTCATTTTTGTGTTAGATTTATAGATGGCAGTACACTTTTACTCGTTCTTTTTTAGAACATCCCTTTGGTCCTAGTATTATTGTGCTTGACATGATCATTTTTGGTCCTTCGTGAACAAAATCGTTAAAATATACATTTAATTTCGATATTTTTTATACGATGTGGGTTAAAAAAATTAAAGGGCAGAAAAATAACTTCTGGTCAAAGGGAAAATTGGGTGTGTTTTCCTGAAAAATAACTTTTCCTCTTTATTGACGGTAGTCATTTTTCAAATCCACACACGTTTTTTCTTCCTCAGCTTCTTCCGTGATTCTTCCTCTGCCTTCTTCCACGACCTCAACCATCTTCTGGTCCAAGGTTTCCAGCGGTGGGTAGCTGGAAACAAGTGGCTGGTTTCCGACTTCGAAAACTTGATCTCTGGTTTTCGAAGCTGGAACCTAGTGCTCTGGTTTCGAAAATAGCCTGGCTTTCGAAGACATAATGATACGATACCACATCGGCTCCACAAGAGATTGTGGAGTGGTACTTAAGTTGAGGCCTAACCTCCACTCATGAGCTAGCTTTTGTTGTGGAGTTAGGGTCTTTGCTCGAGTATTGTATCAATTAGTGATCTTGTTGAGAGACCGGAGTGTGGTGGGAAAGGGCTACTCGGTGCTTGATAAGGTTCAAACAGAACGGAGAAGAGTCCGGAGTGAAAGTTATCCAGAGTGAAAGGGCTACTCGGTGCTTGATAAGGTTCAAACAGAACGGAGAAGAGTCCGGAGTGAAAGTTATCCAGAGTGAAGCCAGGGAAAAAGGGCTACCTGGTGCTGAGAAGAGTCCGGAGTGTGAGCCGTCTAGAGTGACCAACATCGGCTACACAAGAGATTGTGGAGTGGTACTTAAGTTGGGGCCAAACCTCCACTCATCATGAGCTAGCTTTTGTGGTGGAGTTGGGGTCTTGGCTTGAGTACCGTATCATTGAAAAATAACACATTTTCAAAAATCATTTTCTTGATTTCCAAACACACCCTTAATTTCATCTCTGGAGTTAAGATATAATAATGTAATTCAATATGCAGGAAAAAGAGAAGAAGAAGAAGATATACAAGTTAGTGATCTTTTTTAAGGGTAGTCATTTTCCAAATCCACACACGTTTCTTCTTCCCCATTCATCCTCGGCCTTCTTCCACGACTTCAACCATCTTCTGGTCCAAGGTTTCCAGCTGTGGGTAGCTGGAAACATGCGACTGGTTTCTGACTTCGAAAACTTGATCTCTAGTTTCCGAAGCTGGAAACCAATGCTCTGGTTTCGAAAACAGTTTGGTTTTCGAAGACATAAACCAGTCTAGTTTCTAGCTTCAAAACTAGTGTTTTGTCATTTTAAAAAAAAATTCTCTATTATTTGAAAAAAAAAATGATGACCTCTTTTTGAAAAATGAACCAAATATAACAAGACATTATTCTGGAATGCAACCAAACACTGAAAAATAACACATCTTTAAAAATTATTTTTCTAATTTTCAAACACACCATTAATTTCTATCTTTGGAATTAAGATATAATGTAATTCAATTTTCAGAAAAAGAAGAAGAAGAAGATATACTAGTTAGTGATAAAGGAGAAACTTAGAAGCATATAAAGCTCTAATGAACTTGTCTAGACATTAGAGAATGAGAGAATCATATCCCACTACTTCAAGTTGAGTAGGTTAAAATTCAAAACTAATGCAATATTTTACGTTTAATTTAAATTTATTTCATAATATTCATTTTTTAATGTGATATTATTAATTGACTATAGTTGTATTTAATTATCAAAACAATTATTGTTTAGCTTAGAGCTATTAAAATGGACCGGGTAAAAAGCATATTCTTTGACGGGCCTAAGTTTTGTTGGCCCACCTCTAACCCGTGTGCTAGGTGGGCCCCCGCCACAAGACTTTTTTTTTTTCCCTTTATTTTTAAGTTGTTAGTTTGTTTTTTCAAAAAAAAAAAAAAGTTGTTAATTTGTTATTTTGTTAAGTTTTACCATTTATACACTATAATATAATTAAAATAATTTATTACATAAGTACTAATTTAAATTTTAAAACATTAAACAATAATTCTAAAGTTCATTATATATATATATATATATATATATATATATATATATATATATATATAATTTTAAAAAAATAAATAGGCACTTTAGCGACCGACCAATCATGATTCATAGTATATCAATTTTTTTGAATATGAATATATTTTTTAGTACTAAAAATAATATATATTAGTGCAGTAAAAATTAACTTATAAGTTATAATCTATTAAAATGAACTTATATATCAATTGTCCACTTTAAAAGTGAATTATGATTCATAGTATATCGATTGATGAAGCCTACACTATATGATGTAACGTAAAGGACAAGGACCAAGAAGTTTCCCGGAAACTTCGTTTTCTGGTCATAAAGCATGCGATATGTTCACATTATTGTTATTCTTAATTTTATTATTTAATTTCTCTTATCACCATTAGTTTCCAAAGGAAAAATCAATTTGCTAATAATAATTCAACAAAGCCATCTTTTAAGTTGGTTCACATGTTGTCAACTCGCCTAATTAATATTTTAAACTATTCTTAAGCACTGGCTTTCTCAATTGCAGTACCTCTTGATGTACGGTGACTTTTCTCCGATCCATTTCAAGTCTAAAAATTAAAAGTGAAATTTGCATAAAAACAACATTAATTATTTATGTTATATATCCTCAATCCATGTTTTTCTTACTTGTCCTTAATCCCTAATCACGGGTTGACTGTCGCATGACAGATCAGACACAATCATAAAGAGACATTAGACCGTTACTCATCTATCCATTGAAGTATTAAACAAAAACTTTGCCTCAAGATTTAGCATAATTAATTTATTGCCTAACTTGTCCCAAAAGGACATGACGGATCTAAGAATGATGAAAGATCTGGATTAGACTTTTTGTGAGGACATAAAAATTAGAATTTGACCGGTGAATTAATTACGCAGACTCGTAATTTACCTCTGCCGTGACTCTAGGGGTGAGGTCTTATGGACTTAGAATTAATCTGGCAAAACTAGATTACTTTAAGTATTAAAAAATTTTAAACAAAAACTTTATAATATAACGGTATTCAAATAAAAAATAATAATCGCCAAAATAAAAAAAAAAAAGTTTAGTTTGCTGTCAAAAAATAAAAAAATAATGGCAAAAGTTATTCTAAAGTGCAAGATGTATATATTGGACCTGGTCTTTTTTCCACATTTTTATCTATAAAGGACACACCCAGAACCAAAACCAGAACACTAGTACGTTTTTGTCTCTGTTCTTTAACTTTATCGCTTTCTCTCACTAAAACCACCAAAGAGTAAAGAAAATGGCGAAAGACAGGAAGATAGGAGTGGCGATGGACTACTCGAAGAGCAGCAAACTGGCGTTAAAATGGGCGATCGACAACTTGGCCGACAAAGGCGACACTTTCTTCATCGTCCACGTCAAATCCCACGCTTCCGATGAATCTCGCAATAATCTCTGGTCTAAGTCCGGATCTCGTATGCTCCAAACCCAATCTTTGATTCCTGATTTTGTACTATAAGCTGTGTTTTTTTTACTCGTTTTCTTCGATGTTTATGTGCAGCTCTGATCCCGCTGTCTGAGTTCCGTGAGCCGGAGGTGATGAAGAATTACGGCGTTCAGGCTGATATCGAAGTTCTTGATTTGCTCGACACAGCCGCCAGGCAGAAAGAGGTTAACACATTAATTGTAAAATTCTCCGAGCTTTTAATTTGTTTGGTTGGGTTTCTGAAAAATGTTTTGTCTGTAGATACATGTTATCATAAAATTGTACTGGGGAGATGCAAGGGAGAAGCTGTGTGATGCGATTGAAGATTTGAAGTTGGATTCTCTGGTTATGGGTAGCAGAGGCCTTGGCACCATCCAGAGGTACTCAAAACATTCTCTTCTCACCCTATTTAGAAAGTCGAGTCCAGTATTTTACTATTGAATACTATTGAAACGTGACGCACATTTATACTATTGAATACTATTGAAACGTGACGCACATTTACTAAGTATAAGAAAATAAATTTGTTATTTTTGTTACTTAATTATAATTTTTGGTATAATGGTAAACACTTAATAAATTTGTGTCTTTTGCTATGATTAAAGTTTTTGGTGTAATGCTAAACGCTTGATCTGAACAGTTTATGTGAAAGTTAATTGAAGTTTTGTTTTATTGATTGTGCAACTGCAGGATAATCCTGGGGAGTGTTACCAACTATGTCCTGGCACATGGGAACTGCCCTGTGACCATTGTTAAAGATGAAGATTTTCATCACAAGCACTGATAATGTTCAATTATGAGCTGATTCACAACTATGTTCCATCCCTAGCTTGTTATTTTCTTTTAAGATTAATGCAAACTTCATATTAAAGCACTGTTTTTGCTTCTTTTTTGGGTGGTGAAATGTGATGGAATGTTGCTCTGATCAACAATAAGATGTACATGTATTTTAAAAAATAAAGTAGATTAGGTTTGGCAGATCATGTGGCGATTAAGAATTCATTATCACGGATGTCCACTCATTAAGGTCAATGGGGGGCTGCGATTGAAATTGAAATACATTTAAAATCATTGCTAAATGTTTGACTATAAACATTTTTAAAAAAAATTTGTACAAAAAAATAAAAAAATAAAAAAATAAAAATCAATTAAATAGGGTCCCAGGCCACCTATGTGAAAATGACAAACGACATTGATATACGGAGTAGTAAAAGGTTTTGCTTAAAATATTAAGAATTGGCTTAGTTGGCTACAAACTTCTAGACTATGAAGAAGAAATTTATGGTATTCAATTTACTCACCGTCATAATTAATCCCTATAACTATTATAACACCGTCATTAGTCATTACTCATATTCTTACTGATGGATGGAACCCACAGGATTAATTTGTTCAAGATAGCCATCGGAGGATAATTATGGTGACCATTACAAATTGAGTTACCATTAAATTCAGGGACACAAAAACACAAAGTCATCATCATCCAACCATTATTATTCCCTTACCATAAAGAGGCATGAATACCATACATTCCAAATCCACCTCACTATAAAGACCATGCCATTGAGAGTAAATGGACATCTTCATTCTTATCTTCGGATTCAAAGACTAGCTCTCAAATACCTTATATAAATATTCATAAGCCCGAGCTCTCTATATGTGGTTTTCAACTTTACACTTTTCACAAAAAAAATTACCATGTTCAAAGTTTATTTTAGAAAAAAGTATGAAATAGATCACTTATCGTTTTTGTGCAATTGGATTATTGAACTTTAAAATGTGCAAGTAAAATATGTGCAATTAAGATAGTTTTTCTAATTTTTCTCGACAGAATATGATAATATTATGGGATAATGACCAAATAAGCCCTTGAACTATTTATAAAAGTGCAATTAAACCCCCAAACTAGAAAAATTCCAATTAGACACCTAAACTTTAAAAAAAGTGCAATTAACCCCATTTGACTTGTTATTGCATTTAATCTCCAAGTTAAAGGTGATTGGAATGCCACATCAATATGTTTTGATGACATGGATGCCCAATTCACATAATAATAGTAATAGTAATAATTTATTAAAATTAAATGTAATTTTTTAAATTTTAATAATAATAATAATATTATTAATTTTTAGTTTTTATTATTATTATTATTATTATTATTATTATTATTATTATTATTATTATTATTATTATTATTATTATTATTATTATTATTATTATGATGTGAAATGGGCATCCAAGTCATCAAAACATATTGATGTGGCATTCCAATCATCTTTAACTTGGCCGGAGGTTACCTGCAATAACATGTCAAATGAGATTAATTGCATTTTTTTTTTTAAGTTCAGGGGTTTAATTGGAGTTTTTTTTTATATAGTTCGAGGGCTTAATTGCACTTTCATGAATAGTTCAAGGGCTTATTTGACCCTTATCACTAATATTACTTACCTGGCATGTACTAAGGATCGTCATTATTTCCCTTGCTATACTAATTGGAATGAAAGATTAAAATGCTTTCAACTTAAAGTGCACCAAAAAATTATAAAAATGTCTCAATTGCACATATTTTGCTTATTTGATTGCACACTTTTTATATTCAATGACTCAATTGCACAAAAATGATAAGTTTAGTTAACTAGCAATTTGACACTTTTCACCCAAAAAAAAAAAAAAAAGAAGAAGCTATTTGACACTTATTTCTTTATTTTATTAATTCATAAATTAATTTTTACTCAGATGGCATGTAGTGACCTCTCATGTAGGAGGTCATGAGATCGAGCCGCAGTAGAGGCGTTGTTAACTCTGTGTACTTCATTAGGTTAAAAAAGTATGTTTTCATTATGTTTGAACAGATATAATTTCATAAGTAAAAATATAATTTTTCAAAAATAATAAGTGGTATATGATCAATCACTTACAAAAGTTATGAAAAATTACAAATATACCCCTCACTTTCTATTTTGTGAAAACACTATATATATATATATATATATATATATATATATATATATATATATATATATATATATATATATATATATATATATATATATATATATATATGTGTGTGTGTGTGTGTGTGTGTGTGTGTGTGTGTGTGTGTGTGTGTGTGTGTGTGTGTGTGTGTGGAAGGGATCAGGTGCGGGTGGTGCTTCTCGTGCGATTGTGTGGGTGGACTCACATTAAGCATTACACTGGTGCACTTTAAGTACACAACAGACTCACATTAAACACACAAACAAAATACATTCAGAACACAAACTCACGCACCTTAAGCACATAACTCACGCACCTTAAGCACAAAACCCACGCACCTTAAACACAAAAGCACACGCACCTTAAGTTTTAACAACAACTCACATTAAGTACACACTCACACAGATTAAGTACGAAACTCACGCACATTAAGCACAAAACTCATGCACTTTAAAGTTTCAACAACAACTCACATTAAGTACACACTCACGCACATCAAGCACACAACTCACACACCTTAGATACAAGACTCACGCACTTTAAGTACAAAATTCACACAAATTAAGCGCTACATACTGACATTAAGCACAAGATTCACGCACATTAATCACCCGCACAACCGCACGAGAAGCATTCACCCGCACTGGAACTTAAATCTCTCTCTCTCTCTCTCTCTCTCTCTCTCTCTCTCTATATATATATATATATATATATATATATTTCTCAAAATTTTATATTTAGTATACATATAAAATAAAAAATTAAATTAATTGTTTTAAGTGACGAGGGGAACCCCAATCACTACCTAAGGGTGTGTACTTGTTAAATTAAACTCACTCCTATGTATTAATCTGCAAATTAAATATAAAAGATAAACTACATTCAAAAGACCATGTGAAATAAGCTTGACTAAGACGGTATGAAAATTACACTCTGGCCGCCACTTCTTATCTTACCTTATATGCAAATGTTACTCCGTAATTAAATTTGAAACTCAACCTAACGATTATGCAAATCCAATTCATCATTTGACTTTGGTCATTATGATTTTTCTTATACCTAACATTTTACCATTCAAAAACAAAAGAACAAATGTTTGAATAGTAATATATAAATATTTAAATAACACTTGGCCACGATTATTTGGCATGACAACTAATGTCAACCATTGGTTTGGTGAAGGCTAAAAATATTTATAAAAACAAGATCAAACGATTGGCACGCACTAGAGCCAAAAAGAAAATAAAATAATAGCTTGGACTTAATGTAATTGGTTTGTTGCTTAACTTAAAGGTAGTGACAGGGTGAGAGCTTGATAATAGGCTAATAATTTTTGTCTTGGAGGCAGAGTTTCCTTGATAATGGATAATGGTGCAGTTAGTGAGCTCATCAATCCATTCGCATAACTTTGGAAACTTTCTCTGGTCAATATATACTCTTCCACTCTTGCTGCTTCTTGAATTACTATGAGCCAATGAGCTATGAAATTTGCAGCAATGTCAGCCATTCCAACACTCTCTCTCTCTCTCCTCCAAGAAACTTCTTTCCATTCACTTCATCCTCTAGATGTTTCATCAGCTCAGTAGTTCCAAAAAAAAAAACACCATTGCTTGATAGGGTTGACCAACAGATAGTTACAATATAATGCAATTAAAATAGTTTGGAGTGGTTAAGTTGATGACTTGCTGCCTACTTCAGAAATTTCCAGATGTTTAACCTCAAACTTAATTTATGAAGATAGACTTTTTCTTGGTTATAATATCAAGAAATGAGCAGATATATTTACATTATATTATTGCATAGTCAAACTAGTGCCCAACCTAGTATGTTGCTTTTCTAGCTTTGATATGGAGACTGTGTTAGATATAAATATATACTAACACATACTTAATGCCCAACCTTGTAGTAGCAGAAGTTTTAGAATGATTCGTCAGATATCTCTGACCTTAGTTAGTCACTATAGGTGTTGCCTTTGGAATGGTAAACCTGCTGAGTAATAATTTAGTCGTTATCACTAAAGGTGTTGCCTTTGAAATGGTAGACCTGCAGATCAGAGTAATATTAGTGGTCTTGTTTATCATTTCTCTGGTAAATACTATACGGTGTAGTGTATTCTGTCGCCAAGACCATTTTTTAAAAAGTGTACCTGCCATCATTATAGACAAAGTTAAAATTAAACTGAAGACCCATTCATATATTTGCATCACAAACGCTTAAATAATATATACGGAGTAATATATTACTCTATATGGAAAATTCTTACAGACCACCACAAAAGCAGCAAAAAAAAAAAAAAAAAAAAAAAACATAAAATGAGTCTTATACTCTTATTGCACAGGCAACATATATAGTAGTAGTATACGTACATAATATGTATAACATGCATGCGACATAAATTAAACACTACTACATTATTATGGTATTCCATATATAGTACATCGTTTTTATAACATATAATAACTCAAAAGATTAGAGCATAATGTGTGCATTGGATTCACTGGCTAGCTATCCTAGCACGGATAGCGGCTGGTATGAATCCACTCTTGAAAAAGTCAACCAGTTTGTCCCTGGGTGGGAGACACTCTTTGATTTCGTCGCAAATGATGATGAAATCCTCCTTCCAGCGACATAAATTGGGGAACTTTTCTTTCGTCACCAATTCCACTCCCAAAGCTTCTTCAAGAACTCCAACCCAAAACGCGACGAAATTGCCGGCTATATCAGCAAACCCGACTGTCTCCCCTCCCAAGAACTTCTTCGTCTCCAATTCTTTGTCCAGAATTTTCAGAAGCTCACAAACTTCCTCCTTTCTCTTATCTTGCTCCTCTCCTTTTGCAAATAGAGCTTTCGTCGACGCTGGCAGGCACTACATGAATCCAACCACAAGCAGTAAAATTATGGTCAGATCATAAACTTATAAAGAGTTTTTAGTTAATGGCTAAATATGAAAATGGTCTTATAGTCGTGATACTAAAAGCCCAAAAAAAGTCAATTTGACAAGTAGACTCACCTTTTCGTCGATGAACTTAGCCCAGAAACGAGCCAAAGATCTCTCATAAGGGTCTTTGGGCAAAATGGGAGTGCCTGGAAAGGTTTCATCTATGTATTCAACAATGACAAGAGATTCTGCAAGTGGGTTTCCATTGTGCAAGAGCACAGGGATTTTCTTGTGGATTGGGTTGTATTGGAGAAGCAAGGGGCTCTTGTTGGAGAGGTCTTCTTCTATGAATTCATACTCAACTCCTTTCAGTCTGAGAGCCATCTCAACTCTGCGGCTAAATGGGCTTCCCCAGCCGCCTAGAACCTTCACTTCTGCCATCTCTCTACAACTTTGCTATAGGGCCGCCGGGTGGATAAGACTTAGCTGGTGTTTATGTCTTCCTGGATTCTTTAATTGGCTTCATTTATAGATGGTGCTTAGCTTCGAGGTATGACTGGGTGATGGGGAGTTTCTTAGCAGCGAAGATAATACTAACCACTGGGTTTCTTTATTAATAGTTCAATTAATTTATTCTATGTAACTTTGACTGAACAATTAGGATGACTGCCAAGAAAGTTCTTTGCAGGTGAAAGTTTGAAATGCCGCATTCTTAATTAAAAAACAAAACATAATAATTTTAATATTGAATTAATACCATTTGTGATCCTCAGATTATAATAATTTTGTCATTCAACTTTCAAATTTTAACCAGACGTGATCCTTTAGAAGTAAAATAGGGATAAAATTGTGCTTTCAAAAGGACCACGACTAGTTAAAATTTGGTGAGAGGACTAGTGTCTAGAGCTGCATACCCTGACCAAACAAGATAGTAGACCTATTAGGTGGGAACGTTATGCCTTGGACCCGTGTCCACCATGTGCATGGTGGGCACGCTGTACATTCATAATTTCTATACTGTAGATTCATAATTTCTATACTGCATATTAATAATTTCTGTATTGTAGATTCACAATTTCTATACTGCACATTCATAATTTTTATACTGTAGATTCATAATTTCTATACTGCATATTCATAATTTCTGTATTGTAGATTCACAATTTCTATACTGCACAGTCATAATTTCTATACTGTATATTCATAATTTCTATACTATAGATTCATAATTTTTAATCTATAGATTCATAAAATTTATGATGTAGATTCATAATTTCTATACTGCACATTCATAATTTCTGTATTGTAGATTCATAATTTGATAACTATGCGTTCATAATTTGATAACTATACAGTTTAGAAATTATGAATCTACAGTACAAAAATTATGAATGTACAGTATAAATATTATAAATCTACATTATAAATTTTATGAATCTACAGTTTAGAAACTATGAATCTACAGTATAAAAATTATGAATGTACAGTATAGAAATTATGAATGTGCAGTATGTCCATCATGGACATGGTGAAAACGGGTCTATAGCATAATTTGCCTATTAAGTGGGAGGACTAGTGCCTAGAGCTTGCAATTAGTCCACTGCATCACATTGGGTGAAACTCTTACCTTATAACTGTTATGACTTGATCATGTGTCCTTGTTCATAATTTATCATGGAATAACTATTTGAGTTGCTCCCGACATCATTTTCCTTTTATTAATAATAACCAAACATGCATTACAATCAAGATGGGACATAAACTTTCCCTTATTACAACTGAAATAAAACTAGAATTCTTGCAAACTTTTCTATCTTGAAAGTGTTTCAACAATGCAAGGAGATTCCTCTGGCTCACTCTGAAGCACTGGGCTCTGCTGGCATGAATAGCTTGGTGTAGTAGGGCCTCAAGTATGCAACAAGTTCATCTCTAGAAGGTAAGTTCTCCTTAATTACCTCGCTATTCAGCAAATCCTCCTTCCACCTACATAAATGAGGGAACTTTTCTTTGGTCACGCCCAATTCCACCCCCATAATTTCTTCACGCATTCCAATCCACAAGGCCACGTACATGCCGGCTATATCCGCAAGCCCAATCCTCTCCCCTCCCAACAACTTCTTCTTCTTAAGTTCATTATCCAGAATTTTCAGAAGCTCACAAACTTCCTCTTTTCCCTTCTCCTGTTCCTCACCTTTGGTAAATAGTGCTTTCTCCGATGCAGGCACTAACTTGTCGTCTATGAACTTTGCCCAGAAACGAGCCATGGCTCTCTCGTAGGGATGTTTGGGCAAAATGGGATTGCCGGGAAAGGTGTCGTCGATATACTCCAGAATGACGAGAGACTCAGGGATTGGGTTTCCATGGTGCAAAAGCACAGGGACTTTCTTGTAGAGAGGGTTTGATTTGAGAAGCAAGGGGGTCTTGTTGAACAGATCTTGTTCTAAGAATTCATATTCAACTCCCTTGAGTTTAAGAGCAACCTCAACTCTTCTGCTAAAGGGGCTTCCCCACGACCCTAAAACCTTCACTTCTGCCATCTCTAGCTATCTCAGCTCGCTCAATTTCATTTTACAGTGGCTTTATTTATATAAGGATGAAGCTAGCAGACATGGGATCAGGCCGGGCTGGGCGATGAATTTTCTTAGCAGCCAAGAACGTTACTTTTCTTCACTAAAACTTCTGAAGAAAATTGTTTGAAGCTGACCTATTCACTGATCTCATCACCTTCTACATACAATTCCACTCACGCCATTGAACAACTAATAATAATAATAAATGGATTTATTATTAGCAGCCAAAAATGTAGCTTTCTTGACTAAAAGTAATTGGCTATTACTCCATCTAAAAAAATATTGTTAAGTGATATATACTTATTGTTTACTATAATAAATGTAAGGGGGTGTTTGGTTGGATGAAAAATATTTTCCATGGAAAATGTTTTTTTAAAAGTAAAGAAAATGATGTTTTATTTTGTTTGGTTGGAGTTTCCTTAAGGGCTCGTTTGGTTCCCGGAAAAATATTTTAAGGGAAGTGGAATTGAAATTCCATAGAAAAACAATTACTAGTAAGATGAATTTCATTGTTTGGTTGGTGGAGAAAAAATTACTGGGAATACTAATTCTATTGTTTGGTTAGATTTGGAATTGTAAGGAATAATGAGTATAAAGACCTATATGCCCCTACAAATTAATAAGAGTAATATAATTAAGAAAGAAAACAAGGATAAAATAGTCAAACCATATCACTTTTTTTATTATATTATTATATTATTATTGTTGTGGAGGGTTATATTTGTCATTATACTCATTAATTATTCCTTACCATTCCAAACTCAACTGAACAATGGAATTCATATTCCAGTAATTTCTTTTCTACCAACCAAACAATAAAATCTATTTTTTTAGAATTTCAATTTCATTTTCCTTCAAATATTTTCTAGCGAAACAAACTAGCTGTAAAAATTTTTTTAAAAGGTGTTTTATGTTTAGTTGTCTAATTGCATAATGTTATGTTTGGAGGAGAGAGTTGGAAGGAAAATATAGGAGAGGTGTGTAGTAGTATTGCTCTTTAAGTAATGATGTGTTAGAGTTTTTGTATTTATGAAAAATATAGAAGGTGAGTCTCTTATGAGACTGTCCGAGTCCGGTCAAGATTTTAACAAATAGAGAGTAAAGTCCACTTTTTCCTATGATTTTATTAATTAATATAGTAAGCAAACAAGTGATACAAGAAATGAGATATAGAAATAACTTTATTACAGCAGAAATAAAACTAGAACTAGAATAGTACTACTCTTCTCTCACAAACTTTTCAATTCAAAAAAAAACAAATAAAGAATGCTTTACCCAGAAGCACTTGCAGCTGCTGGCTTGAATCCCTTACTGTAGTAAGCAACAAGTTCATCTCTAGAAGGAAAGGTCTCTTTGATTACGTTGCAGTTGAGGAAATCCTCCATCCACCGACATAAATGAGGGAATTTTTGTTCCGTCATGCCCAGTTCCACCCCCATAACTTCTGCCAACACTCCAGCCCATAAGGCAACGAAATTGCCGGCTATATCTGCAAGTCCGATCGTCTCCCCTCCCAAGAACTTCTTCTTCTTCAATTCATTATCCACAACTTTAAGAAGCTCACGAACTTCCTCTTTTGCCTTCTCTTGCTCCTCGCCTTTGCTATATCGTACTTTCCTCGCTGCAGGCAAGAACTGCGCGCAACAGTAACAGTAATTAAATCAATCGAAAAGATAAATCTTGAAGCAGATCAAATGGCCGACTATACCTTTTCGTCGAAGAACTTAGCCCAGAAACGAGCCACGGCTCTCTCGTAAGGATGTTTGGGCAAAATAGGAGTGCCCGGAAAGGTGTCGTCGATATACTCGAGAATGACAAGAGACTCAGCGATTGGGTTTCCGTTGTGCAAGAGCACAGGGATTTGCTTGTGGACTGGGTTGGATTTGAGAAGCAAGGGGGTCTTGTTGGAGAGATCTTGTTGTATGAATTCATATTCAACGCCCTTGAGTTTGAGAGCAACCTCAACTCTTGCGGTGAAAGGGCTTGACCAACTACCTAGAACCTTCACTTCTGCCATCTCTGAATCAGTGTGTGTTTGTGGCTCTTTTCTGGGTTATTGGCTGTTCCATTTATATAAGGATCGATGGAACATCCGTGTAAGCAAGGCTGGCCTCTTATCAGCCCCGAAAGTACCTTTCTTCCTTATTATTACCTTATTATACTTGAATTTCTTGACTAAACAATGTGGACTGAGTCGCTAGAGCCTTGGGGGTTGGTGGATTGATGAAACAAGAATCTCAGGACGGACAAGAATAAAATATTTATTATTTTATGAAAATGTATAATACTTTTACATTTTGATGTAAATATAGTATATTTTTTTTATAAGTCCAACATTATTTATGTTTTATAAGTTTTTTATTATTATTAGGAAAATACACTCTATTTATACAAAATACAAATTTTGTTAACACCGACTATAATATTATTAGATAAATACACTATACCTATACAGAATACAAGTCGCTAGAGCCTTGGCGGTTTATGTCCTTATTTTTCGGTAATTTTTTTTGTACCTTGTGCTATAAAAGCTGTACTACATAATTTTTTGGACAAAAATATTCATACCATTATAACTTCTGTTATCTTTCCACATTATTATTACCATGTATATGCATACACAATATTTTTTCTTACATCCTTCAATGGTAAGTTTGAATTCATTTAGGTTTTAATTAAAATATTATCATAGTTATATTTAGTCAATTATCATTTCTATAATTCTTACATCAATAATATTAATATGAATTATACAATTATATATAATTATATATATATATATATATATATATATATATATATATATATATATATATATACACACACACACTATTATTTTTAAAAATTTAATATAACTAAGATTTTAATATTTAATTTTAATATTGGGCATATATTTTTTGCGCATCGCGCATATAAAATACTAGTTTTCTTTTATAAGTTCAACATTATTTATGTTTTATAAGTTTATTATTATTATTATTATTATTATTATTACTAGGAAAATACACTATATATATACAAAATACAAATTTTGTTAACACACCGACTATAATATTATTAGATAAATACACTATACATATACAGAATACAAATTTTGTTAACACACCGACTAAATTTACTATACATTTTGCTTTCGAAAATTTATGTTACATGTAAATAAATTTTAGAATTGAATTGAAAGCAACAAAAAATATATAAGAGAGTTTTGAGAAAACATACTTGATTGAGGTTGGCTCACTAATTGATGTTCTATGTTGAAAGTAGAAGAAGAAAACACATTAATATCGATAGGGGGATGTTAAACATTAATATTAGGTTAAAAAAAAAAGATTTTGTCTTAATATTATCTTCTTCTTCTTTTCTTTCTTTTTTTTTTTTAATTCTAATTTCATAAAAATTAAGAAAAAGTATAATTTTATGGAATTATTATGGGTCTGTTTACTAACAAAAAAACTGTTCTCTGTTTTTTATTTTCTAATTTTTCAATTTTCATTCTGTTTTTCATTCTTTGTTTTCTTTTTAGAAAACTTGTTTACTAACAGAAAACTGTTCTCTATTTTTTCTATTTTCTAATTTTTCAGGTTTCACCTAAAATTCAGTTTAGATAATATTAATATTTTTTGAACTAATATTAAAATATTTTTTTGTTATATTCATTTAAATGACATGTATATAAATATATAACTTTTAATTTAAATTTTAATATAAGTGAGATTTCAATATTCTGTATCTGGACCAAACTTGTATTGTGATGTAACATAATTAAAAATATTCGAACTAATAATCTATTGAGTTCAATCAAAATCTACAACATTATATAGAATTTAATTCTTAATTTTGATAATGCAAATAATGTCTAACTTTAAAGTGTAATTAAGCAAATAAATTATGTCTAAATAAGTAAAGTAAAAAAGATAGAAGATAGTAATAAATAAAATAAGATGATAATAAATATAATCATAGTAATGTGGTTATAGTGACATATAACTAAATAGATAATAGATGATTCTCTTTTTTATTTCGGAAATAATTTTCAAGTGTATTCCAATTTTTTAGAAATTATTTTCAGTTTTCAAAATGTGTTAATAAACATGTTTTCTATTTTGTATTTTATAATTTCCAAAAGTTTTCAGAAATTGAAAACGGTTCTATAATTTTCTCTAACCAAATTAATAATTTTTTTCATTTAAAATAAAATGAAAATGAAATTGTAAATTCCTCTACCAAACTCACCCTTAGATAATGATGCATAATTAGAGTTTTTGTATTATAAAAAAACTGAAAATTTGATGGAATATTGCCATTTATAGAAGGAAAATATTAATTTTTTTTTTATTACAAAAGAAAGGACATACAAAGGCTTGAACCTTAAATCTCTCATATCAAAAACCAATTTGGATACTAGTGGACTACATGCCACTTGGTAAGAAAACATTAATTTATTACAACTCTTCCACCACTACAAACTTTTCAATCTAAAAGAAATGCTCACTGAGAAGCAGTTGCAGGTGCGGGCTTGAATCGCTTGCTGAAATAGGCAACAAGTTTATCTCTAGAAGGTAAAGTCTCCTTAACTATATCGCAGTTGAGGAAATCCTGTTTCCAGCGATATAAATGAGGGAAATTTTCTTCCTTCACGCCCAATTCCAACTCCAAAACTTCTTCCAAAACTCCAACCCATAAAGCAACGAAATTGCCGGCTATATCTGCAAGCCCGATCGTCTCCCCTCCCAAGAATTTCTTGTTCTTGAATTCATTGTCGAGAACTTTCAGAAGCTCACGAACTTCCTCTTTTCCCTTCTCTTGCTCCTCGCCTTTGGTAGACCGTACTTTCATCGTTGCAGGCACGACCTGCAAAATCGAAAAACAAATTGAAGATAAATATTGAAGCAGATAGATCAAATGGACGAATTATAGTAGATATTTACCTTATCGTCTATGAACTTAGCCCAGAAACGAGCCAAGGCTCTCTCGTAAGGATCTTTGGGCAAAATGGGAGTGCCCGGAAAGGTCTCATCGATATACTCAAGAATAACAAGAGACTCAGCGATTGGGTTTCCGTTGTGCAAGAGCACAGGGATTTTCTTGTGGACAGGGTTGGATTTGAGAAGCAAGGGGCTCTTGTTGGAGAGATCTTCTTGTATGAATTCATACTCAACTCCTTTGAGTTTGAGAGCAAGCTCAACTCTTGCGCTAAAAGGGCTTGCCCAAGCACCTAGAACCTTCACTTCTGCCATCTCGATCTCAATCTGGGTGTATAAATTGAAATTCTGTGTTAATCAGTGAGTGTGTATCTGTGTTGTGGGTATGTTTATTGGGTTGATTTATATAAGGATGGAGCAGAGGTGTAAACAAGGCTGTAGCATTCGCTAGATCCTTCGACTGGTGGTAACGTGATGCAATTTTTTTGAAGCTGATGTATTCACTGATCTCATCACCCTCTACTTAGTCCAACTAGGTCCTACGTTGATACGCTGTCATACACATACGCTTCGTTTGGCAAAGCTTATTTAGGACTTGTAGCTTATTTTAAGCTACTAATAAGCTATAAACTCTGTTTGGTAATGTTTTCAAAATAAGCTCCTAGTTTAAAATAAGAGTTTATTTTGAAACGCTACTTAAGATAACGTTTCAAAATAAGCTCCTAACTTCCTAACTTTTTTTTTTTATCCTTATTAATTTAAAGAAATGACATAATTTATCTTTCCAATTAAAATATTTTTTCTCTTTCCTTAATTTATCTGCAACTTTCACTGCAATTATTATTATTATTATTATTATTATTATTATTATTATTATTATTATTATTATTATTATGAGATTTGCAAAAATATTGTTACTTCATTATGAGATGCTAAATCATGATTATGCTAATAGTTTTATTTCAAAATGTTAATTTTTTAAAAATACAAAATGTTAAATTTTAATATGTAAACAAACTAATTTAAATTTTATGTTGATGTTCTTTTTAGTCTTTTTATATTTATCGGCTTATCAAAAAGTTAATTTTACCAAACATTTTCAATCATAACAGCTAGCTTAACAACTCTTCAGTTTTCAGCTCCTAGCTTATAGCTTTTCAGCTAGGTTTGCCAAACAGAGCCATAGGAGATTGTTAGTAATTTATATCCATCTATAATAGATCAATTATTAATGTTATTTTTGAATTATTAGTATCACTAATAATTAAAGAATGACATTGATAATTAGCATATTATGGAGAGGTATAAATTATTAATTTTTTAAAATTTAAACAACATAAAAAAGTAAAGGATTAAGTTTTTTTTTTTTTTTGAGTTAATTCCAGCAATAGTCCTCCGACTATTGTGATTTTCCAAATTTGGTCATCGTCTTTTAATTTTGGACAAAATAAACCCTTGACTATTAGAATTGTTCCACCATTGGTCCTTCCGTTAACTTAGAGTTAGATAGACGTTAAGTTAAGGGGTAAAAAGGTCATTTCTTTTGTTGGGTTTCTTCTTCCGATGAGTTAACTCAATAGGCAAAGGCAGCTTAGATTTGGTAGCGTCGATGAAGACTCATCAGCTTTTTGTGTATTTTCAGTGGTCTAGGACTGCTTACATAATTTTTTTTTTTTGGTAGTAATATTTATGTTAGGCATTTTGGAATTTCAATCCCATATTTTTCTTCCTCTTCTTGATTATCATATTCTTCTGCACATTCTATTCCAGGTTAATGTTGGGACTTATTGAAACTATGAATTAATGGTGTTTTAGATTTCTCTCCTATAAAAAAAAAAAAAAAGGATAGAACTAAAATTCTTAAATTCCTAATTAATTTTCCTATTATATCTATGTATCTATGATCTGTTGCTCCTCCAAGCTCTGTCAAATCCAATAGTCAACAACGAAGCCAAGCCCAAGGCCGACGAATTGACGACGCCGGCGCCCTCCCCTGCGGATCTGCAAAGAAGACAGCAACGGACGACGAAGCTACAAGCCGACGACGCCGGTGTCGACCCCTCACCTGCGAATCTGCAAAGAGGACGACAACGGGCGACGAAGCTACAAGACAATGACGCCGTCGCCGTCGCTTCCCCCCTTCCCTGCGTATCTGAAAAAAAAAAAAAAAAAAAAAGACGACAACGGATGACGAAGCTACAAGCCGATGATGCCGACCCCTCCCCTACGAATCTGCAAAGAGGACGACAACGGACGACGAAGGTACAAGCCGCCGACGCCTCCCCCTCCCCTGCGAATCTGCAAAGAAGACGAAAACGGACGCCGAAGTTAGAAACCGACGATGCCGACGCCTCTCGCCCTCCCTTACGAATGCGAATCTATCTTATTCATTGAGTTTATTCACTGATTCTACATCGTGAAGGCTCCTTGATTCTTCGACTGAAATCTACGACATTTGAAAGTCGGTGCAGTGACTGTGAATTTTGATTTTTTGGATTGTTAATTTGTTATTGAGAATTTGACTTTAAGAATTGAATTGTTAAAAATGTAGAAATTATGATATACGGAGTACTTAATTTGTGGTATGATCTGTGTATATTCAACCAACCTCAAGAAGAAGAAACTCAGTAGAGGAAATGACCATTTTACCCCTTAACTTAACATCTATCTAACTCTAGGTTAACGGAAGGACCAATGGTGGAACAATTCTAATAGTCAAGGGTTTATTTTGTCCAAATTAAAAGACGAGGACCAAATTTAGAAAATCACAATAGTCGGAGGACTATTGCTGGAATTAACTCTTTTTTTTAAAAAAAAATTTTTTTTACATAAACTGCGTTTAATGCTATTATAATAGGGGATTTAGTTAAGATGTTGTTGAGAAAATAATACTTTTTGTCCTTAAGTTATAAAATAATTGTAGAATTTGTCATTGAGTGTTGGTCATATTCACTTTTTATCTTTAAGTTATTATTGGTAGTCCATGAGTTATACTAAAATTGTAAATTTCGTCCCTAATGTTTTATTAGTATAGGGACGAAAAGTGCAACATTAATGATAACTTATGGACGAAAAGTGAGTATGATCATGGAAAACATTTTCCTTAAAAAGTGAAGGAAAATATTGTTTTCTTGTGTTTGGTTCATAGGGAAAATGAATTCCTCAAATGTGTGGAAGATGGGAAGAAAAAGTGCATAGATTGCCTATTTTACCCTTGTTTTTTTTTAAAATTATATTACTTTTATTAATTTGTAGGGACATATAAGTCTTTATACTCATTATTCCTTACAATTCCAAATTCAACCAAACAATAGAATTATATTAGTATTCCCAGTAATTCTTTTTCCACCAACCAAACAATGAAATTCATCTTCCTAATAATTATTTTTCCATTGAATTTCAGTTCCACTTCCCTTAAAATATTTTCCGCGAACCAAACGAGCCCTTAGAAATAAATTCTACAATTACCTAATAATTTAAGGATGAAAAGTGAAATTTTTCATTATTTAAATTTAAAAATATTAATTTTTTTTCAAAAGTATTATTCTTTTCATTATAAATAACAACACTTTATTTGCTTTCAAAAAAAAAAACACTTTATTTATGATTAATATTATATTTTTTCAGTATAAGTATTACATTTTTATCTTAATTCGATTCGTTTTACGGATCCCCACGCAAATTTCAAAATGGTAAACTCAAAATCTATCATAGAGTAAGCGCATTTGTAAAAAAATCTAGTTACAAAATAATGGTCGAAGGTATGCTAATGAGTGAGTTATTACAAGCTAAGTAGCTAACATTTTATGGGGTGTTTGGTTAGAGGAAAGAATTAAGAAGGAAATGAATTGTAATTCGGTGGGAAAAGAATAATATAGAAATTCAAATTATATTGTTTAGTAGGAAAGAATAGAATTATGGGGGATGGGAAGAAAAAAGTGGTATAAAGCAAAATGTCCTTGTATAATAATAATAATAACAATCAACAAGGGTATTTTTGTCATTTCTTACACTTTTTCCTTTCCAAAAAGCATTGAATTGTAATCCCCTCCAACCAAACACTGTAATTGAAGCCTTCATTGAATTGCAATTCAATTAATTACATCCAACCAAACACTCCTTAATTCATAAATCACCCGAATCTTGATTGGATTTCTGAAACATTACTGAGCAATTGAAGAGCTCATAAATCACTTGAAAACTGAAGAGGCCAATCATCTCAAAGATAAGGCTATCTCTTCTAGAAAAATCTGTTCGTTAAGGCTAATATTGTTGAAATGAGTAACAAAGCTTATATGTTTAGCCAAATGTCTTGTGATCGAGTGGCATAGATGTAACCTTAGTGTGAAGCATCAAGCATTGATTTTTTTTGTGATTCAGTAGGTTGAGAAAGTATGTATGAACAAATATTACATTGATCATATCAGATAATGATCATAAGAAAGTCCGGCTCAAACCAAGGAGAAAGAATTCGTTGTCTAAAATGCTGAATGAATCTTTTACTCAATGCAAAGAATGTGTCAAAATTACAATATTGCCCATTCTATTTTTGCCTTTGTTAGGATTCCCGGGCCTAAAATTCTATAGATGACTTAATGGCTTCTTAGGGACTAAAATCATAGTTTAATGACTGAATAGTTAAAAGTTTACATTAACTAACTCATATATAGTTAAGAAAGTGATTTAACTATTCATACATAATATAATAGAATTACTAGTAGAAGTTTTGCACGGACTTAACTCACTGATTCAGTAGACAATATTAAAAAAAAAAAAAAAAGATAAGATTTGAACTTCAACATTTGACCCTGTCCTTATTTGCTTAGCCATTGAGTCCGTGATTGTCAATTTCGAGATTTAACAAATAGAGAGGAAAGTTCGCGGACTAGTAAAAGTTAGACTCGCCAAAGAGCAGGCTATTTTGGCTCTCCTCTGGCCGGTTTTGACAACTCTATGAGGAATCAATGAAATGTAATAAACTGTTGCAAAATTACACACACACAATGGAGGAACATTAGTGGTAGTTTTAGATAAGTTGGAGGACTTATTGTGATAAATTTGTAAGTTGAACACCAAAGATGGTAGTTTCTCAAACTCAGAGAACTATTTAGTGCTAGCTTTAAAAAATTTATATGACTTATTGTGATAGATTTGTAAATTGAGGACCAAAGCTAGTAGCTCCTCAAACTCAAGTAGATATATTATACTATTAGACAAAGTCCCACGAGTTTCCCACTTTAATCATATGTGGATTTCTTTTTCTTTTAAAATTTGAAAGCTTTCAAATTTGACAAAAGTTGATGATGCCAAACTAGTGTTACAACAGAAATGAGACATAGACATAAGAGACATAACTTTATTATAGCTGAAATAAAACTAGAATAGTACTAGTCTTCTCTTATACAAACTTTTCAATTAAAAAAAAAAAAAAGAAGAAGCTTTACTCTGAAGCACTTGCAGCTGCTGACTTGAATCTCTTATTGTAGTGCGCAACAAGTTTATCTCTGGGAGGAAAGGTCTCCTTGATTACGTTGCAGTTGAGAAAATCCTCCATCCACCGACATAAATTAGGGAATTTTTGTTCCGTCATCCCCAGTTCCACCCCTAAAACTTCTGCCAACACTCCAACCCATAAAGCAACGAAATTGCCGGCTATATCTGCAAGTCCGATCGTCTCCCCTCCCAAGAACTTCTTCTTCTTCAATTCATTATCCACAACTTTAAGAAGCTCACGAACTTCCTCTTTTGCCTTCTCTTGCTCCTCGCCTTTGGTATATCGTACTTTCCTCGCTGCAGGCGAGAACTGCGCGTCACAAAATCATCAATCGAAAGGCTAGCTAAATCTTGAAGCAGATCAAATGGACGAAAACGAGGACTAAACATACCTTTTCGTCGAAGAACTTAGCCCAGAAACGAGCCACGGCTCTCTCGTAAGGATGTTTGGGCAAAATGGGAGTGCCCGGAAAGGTGTCGTCGATATACTCGAGAATGACAAGAGACTCAGCGATTGGGTTTCCGTTGTGCAAGAGCACAGGGATTTGGTTGTGGACAGGGTTGGATTTGAGAAGCAAGGGGCTCTTGTTGGAGAGATCTTCTTCTATGAATTCATATTCAACGCCCTTCAGTTTGAGAGCAACCTTAACCCTTGCAGTGAAAGGGCTTGACCAACTACCTAGAACCTTCACTTCTGCCATCTCTGAATCAGTGTGTGTTTGTGGTTCTTTTCTGGGTTATTGGCTTCATTTACGGGCTGGCCTCTGAATTTTCTTATCAGCCACCTTTCTTGACTATTGTTATGCCATGGACCAGGTTCACCTTGTAAGGTGGACTCAAGTCCAAAACGACACAATCTATGCCATAATTTATCTTTTTATTTTTAAAAAAGTGTCAAATTGACTCCTTTAAGTCAAGTGGATAATACAATTGGATTCCCTAAGTGTAAAACTCCATTTAAATATTTTAAATTGGTAAAATAATTCAACTAAGTCCAATTTGACTTGTTTATCATGTTAAATTGATACGGTGTTGACACGTATCATTCTTATTTTATTTTTTAAAATATATGTTTTTTATTATTAAAAATTAAAAATATTATTTATTATGAATTAATTAATTAATTAAAATAATAATATAATAATAATAATAATAATAAAAAACAGCCACGGGCTATCCGCACATACCGTATCGATTTAACTTCTTATTTTATTTTTTAAAACATATGTTTTTTATTATTAAAAATTAAAAATATTATTTATTATGAATTAATTAATTAAAATAATAATATAATAATTTTTTTTTTTAAACCTGATAAACAAGTCAAATTGGACTTAACTTTCTCCATCTGTTTAACCGTCCAAGTCCACTTGACTAATTCTCGTTAACTTCGGGAGGGACGGGAGCTCCCCTTTGTAAATGATGTGGATCATTTTGATCCCACATCGAAAATGTTTAGAAAGAGAAGCTCTTGAGCTCCAGAGGAGCAATGCTTTGATCCCCTTCCAAACATAATTGTTTGCCTATCAACGTGGGCAAGTATTGGAAAGTCAAAATGCTCTTATTTAAAAAGTCTTAGCTTAATGGTTTGTTATTTTTAGTTTTTTTTTTAAAATTATTTATTAGGGCTGTTTGGGAATTATTAACCCTAAATGTATATGTGTTGTTTTAGTTTTTAGTAGTTTGGAGCAAATTGCTGAGTTATTAAATACTATTTTTGGTGTTTTGATAAAAAAAAATGTTAAAATGACGAATCTGATAAAATTTTAACAAATTTGTTAATAAAATCAAACAAGGCCATTATCTAATAATTAGTATGGCATTTAAAAAATTAATTGTATAGATATTAAAGTTCGTTTGAAAGTTAGGAAAATAATTTTGGATAAATGAATTATTATTCAGAAAACATTTTTCTTTTTAATGTTTGGTTGCACAGTAGAAAATATTGTAAAAGAAAATTTATATTATTATTATTATTATTATTATTATTATTATTATTATTATTATTATTATAAAAAATGAATATTAATAATTGACTGCGAATAAAAAAATGATTCATATTGACTAAAATGAAAAAAGAAATTGTCAGATCATTGCATTTTAATTAAAAATGGAACGGAAATTAAAAATTAGATGGAAATATTTCAATAAAAATATTCTACATCATCAATTAAAAATGGAATGAAAATTAGGTAAAAATATCACTGTATCTAATTTCTAATTGACTGAAAATAAAAAAGAATAATTGGCTGAAAATGAATCTGATATTACTAATTGACTGAAATATAAAAGAATCACTAATTGACTAATATTCTACCATTATATATTTCACCTGAGTCACTTATCCTGATGGACGGAAAGTGTTAGCTCTATACGAAGATGGACAAGATTGTGTTGCTACTACCAGTGTTGTCTACAAAGAGGTTTCAATAATGTGTAAATACAATCGGTGATATTATTTTTTTTTTTAAATGGCAAAATTGCTATATATCTACACAAAAATGATATTCTCCATACAAATGAATTAGAATATCAAGTCACTCTTATAATTGAGTTGATAGAGAACGTGCACATTTGCTTAATTTATAAAAAATACTGAACAATGATAAATAAAATCTCCAAAGTTATAGCACCGCATGCATACATCTACACATTAGCTATTAATATGAGAAATTATTTGCTCAAATTCAAGCAATGATAACATAAAAACACATAAACGATCCAAACCATATCTTCAATTGCACTATATAATATGTGATGTTCTAATTTAAATAATTATATATTGATACAAATATTCTTAATATATTACAACAAATCCATTCCGTGCATCGCACGGGCGAAAATACTAGTGTGTAATAATCATCATCATCATCATCATTGACAAAAGGGTCATTTCATTTTTTTTTCTTCAAATAACCGATGGATAGTATACTAAGCCTTGGCAACATGGACCGGCCTAAGAAAACAACTGGATCAAGAAAGTCCAAGAAAGATACACGATACGGGCCAACCCAAGAGTTTGCTAATGATTAGGCCTGTTATTCCCAATATAATATGAATTGGACTAATGAGAAAATTATAATTTATGCCCCTCCAAAATATGTCAATTATCAATGTCACCCCTAAATTATTAGTGGTTTAAATGTTGCCCCTAAATTTTCAAAATGGTAAATATATTGCCCCTCCCATACAGTATGGGAGGGGCAATATATGTACCATTTTGAAAAATAAGGGGCAACATTTACACTACGGGAGGGACTATATTTAAGAAAATTGAGGGTAATATTTACACCACTAATAATTTAGACCGGGGTGACATTGATAATTAGCATATTATGGAGGGACAAAAATTACAATTTTCTCTTGGACTAATTATTTCTAGTATAATAGAATTAAGTCTCATTATGTAACTAAGATTCCCAATATAAGGCAATCAAGAATTCTTATTTTACGTAGGGCTCTAGGCCCAAAATATGTATAAATGGACTCCTCACATAGAGGAGGGGTAACTTCCGAGCAATATTTATTAATACAAAGTTCCTATATTTTCTCCATATATTTTTCCAATATTCTCGTTATTCTAACGGTAGTGTTGGCCTGCCGTTGACTGCTCGTGATTCTTACTGAACAAATCTTTCTCCGTTTGGCGTGAATAAATCTCGAAAAAATACGCGATTTCAAAAAAAATGTCCAAAACGGATAACCGAGTCAAAAGTTATTTATGCCTTGCCAAAGTTTCGACACATTTCAACTAGTAGAAACTTCAACAAGTCAACAATAATATTGTAAAATGGGATATTTTGGTTATTTGATGCTTAAAATAAGAAATTTTGGTTTTTTAATGACCATTTAAAAAAAAAACTGCTGATCAGCCGACTAGGCGGTTGATTCCGACCTTTTTTGCCGTGACCAAACGACGCTTAGATGTGATTTTTGTAACACTGCTAGATTTCAGACTTTCATAATATCTCTGGTCGGCCCAACTTCCTCAGAATCACTATGTACCCACAGTTTTTTAATACCTTTGCCCCAAACCCATCCAAAAGCACTGTTGATAGCTCCCCATTACCACTCAGCTGCATGGTCAGCTTTTACCCTGCAACTGCAACTGAAACCTCCAATCCAGTTCCCTTCACTGTCTCTCAGATCGAACTCACCATATCCTGTCGGCTCATGTGGGTTGACAAAGGAAACATCTGTATTAAGCAAACCAACCCTCATGAAGAGGAAACCACCTCACCTCATCATTCCCACTCTTACCATTAATAGTATTCATTATGTTGCTTTGGCTAAAATAGTTTCTTCTTTGTTAGTTTGTTGTCTTGCCTAGTGCCAGTATGGGGTACTTATTGCCTTATTGGCATGCAAAGAACAAATATTGCCTTATTGGCATGCGAAGAACAAAAGGCACGGGAGTTTGGCATTCATATGTATAAATGCTTATTTGAAGAGTTTGTTGATAGCTTTTCAGGATAAGACGTAGGTTCATGTAAATCCACAAAGATTTTTTTTTTTTTTTTTGAATGCTACTAGCTCTATTACATTGTAGTATCTGTTCATATACTTTCTCAACCTACTGAAACACAAAGAGCTAATAACGTCTTCACTGAGGTTCGAACTTACAACCTTCCAAATGGAAATCCACAAAGATTTAATTTGTCTATTATTATTATTTTCTCTTAGTTCTCCAAATGAATGAAAAAGAATATCTTGTTCACTACACTTCTAATCCTACTGAGAATTGTTAATTAGGAAACACGTGTGTTGAAAGTATAACTCAGGCTTTCATTTTCATATACTTCCTTGCATGGTAACTTATCTTCCTCAAATATCTTGACAGTTAATAACCCAAGCTTCCATTTTCAAGCATCTGCCTTTTGTGCCTCTTAAGCTGATTTTTTATGAAGGTTTTGCACTAATCTTTCTTTCCTTTGCAGGCTATAGGGCTTAACATTTTTACATTCCTTTTCTGGTTATATATAATACTCCGTAGCTTGAAAGATTAAACTTGTATACTTGTTTAATATACCTGATTTTCCAAGCTTTTATCATGATAGTATAATAGTCTAATCATGTTATATTTTCTCCTCAAAACTTACAAAAAACAAAATGCCACTCTTATGCAAAAAAATTATTCTCCTCAACTTCTAGAAATTTTTTGTCCAAAAAAAATTGAATTCCATGAACGAAACACCCCTTCATATGGATATTTAACAAAGAAAGAAGAAAGTCCATGACCTTCTCTCATTATTTTATTATATTAATAATTATTAAGAAGCAAATGTTACAATAGATATGACTGTATGAGACATTGATGACATTAATTTATTACATCTCTTACAGTACAAACTTTTCAATCTAAAACAAATGCTTAATTACTTCTCCCAGTCTTCTCCCAAATACTACTTAAGGAATTATTATTATTGAGTTAAGCTCAAATGTTTACTGAGAAGCAGTAGCAGCTGCTGGCTTGAATTGCTTGGTGAAAAAGGCAACAAGTTTATCTCTAGAAGGTAAAGTCTCCTTAATTACATCGCTGTTGAGGAAATCCTGTTTCCAGCGATATAAATGAGGGAAATTTTCTTCGGTCACGCCCACTCCCACCTCCAATACTTCATCCAAAACTCCAAACCATAAAGCAACGAAATTGCCGGCTATATCTGCAAGTCCGATCGTCTCCCCTCCCAAGAACTTCTTCTTCTTCAATTCATTGTCCAGAAGTTTCAGAAGCTCACCAACTTCCTCTTTTCCCTTATCTTGCTCCTCGCCTTTGGTAAATGCTGCTTTCTTGACTGCAGCCACGAACTGGGCTCAACAGTAACAGTTAAACACACGTATGCACGTCACAAAATCGAAAAGCAAAGCTAAATCTCAGATTAAATGGACGAATTGAAGATGAGGACTCTATATAGTAGTAGATTTACCTGATCGTCAATGAAATTAGCCCAGAAACGAGCCAAGGCTCTCTCGTAAGGATCTTTGGGCAAAATGGGAGTCCCCGGAAAGGTGTCGTCGATATACTCGACGATGACGAGAGACTCAGGTAGTGGGTTTCCGTTGTGCAAGAGCACAGGGACTTTCTTGTGGACAGGGTTGGATTTGAGAAGCAAGGGGCTCTTGTTGGAGAGATCTTCTTGTATGAATTCATATTCAACTCCCTTGAGTTTGAGAGCAACCTCAACTCTTGTGCTAAAAGGGCTTGCCCAACTGCCAAGAACCTTCACTACTGCCATCTCGATCTGGGTGTATGAATTCTGTGTTAATCAGTCAATGTGTGTCTGGGTATGTTTATTGGCTTGATTTATATAAGGATGGAATAGAGGTGTGAACAATAGTGCAGGCTGACGTATTCACTGAACTCATATTATTTTATTATTGCCATAATAATTTAGATTATGATTTTAAGAATCATATTTTGAAATTCATTTGAATTTGTTTGTCCAAAGATAATATTATGTAACATTTAATAATAATAATAATAATAATAATAATAATAATAATAATAATAATTATTATTATTATTATTATTATTATTATCATTATTATTTTTATTAAATGTTCTATAGAGGTGTGAACAAGGCTGCAGGCTGACGTATTCACTGAACTCATATTATTTTATCGTTGCCATAATAATTTAGATTATGATTTTAAGAATCATATTTTGAAATTCATTTGAATTTGTTTGTCCAAAGATAATATTATGTAACATTTAATAATAATAATAATAATAATAATAATAATTATTATTATTATTATTATTATTATCATTATTATTTTTATTAAATGTTCTATAGAGGTGTGAACAAGGCTGCAGGCTGACGTATTCACTGAACTCATATTATTTTATCGTTGCCATAATAATTTAGATTATGATTTTAAGAATCATATTTTGAAATTCATTTGAATTTGTTTGTCCAAAGATAATATTATGTAACATTTAATAATAATAATAATAATAATAATAATAATAATAATAATAATTATTATTATTATTATTATCATTATTATTTTTATTAAATGTTCTATAGAGGTGTGAACAAGGCTGCAGGCTGACGTATTCACTGAACTCATATTATTTTATTGTTGCCATAATAATTTAGATTATGATTTTAAGAATCATATTTTGAAATTCATTTGAATTTGTTTGTCCAAAGATAATATTATGTAACATTTAATAATAATAATAATAATAATAATAATAATAATAATAATAATAATAATAATAATTATTATTATTATTATTATTATTATTATTATTATTATTATTATTCCAAAAGGCTGAACCCCAACCCTAAGGGCCCTCCACACCCCGGCCCGACAGAGCGGTGGGAGGTTATTATTATTATTATTATTATTATTATTATTATTATTATTATTATTATTATTATTATTATTATTATTATTAAATGTTGTATAGAGGTGTGAACAATACTACTGGAAATTATAGAATTTCCGACCTGAAAGTGATCTTAAATCAAGTTGAGATCAAAAAGTGGTCGGAAATAGCAATAAATATTTTTCCGGATACCAAAAGTGATCGGAACAAGGCTTTCGACTTGATTTAACATTACTTTTAGGTGGTCGGAAATTACATAATTTCCAGTAGTGCAAGACTGCAGGTTGACGTATTCACTGAACTCATATTATTTTATCGTTGCCATAATAATTTAGATTATGATTTTAAGAATCATATTTTGAAATTCATTTGAATTTGGTTGTCCAAAACTTTTATGGTAATAAAGATAATTTTATGTAATATTTAATAATAGTAATAATTATTATTATAATTATTATTATTAAATGTTGTATAGAGGTGTGAACAAGGTTGCCGACTAACGTATTCACTGAATTCATATTATTTTATTGTTGTCATAATAATTTAGATTATGATAATAAGAATCATATTTTGAAATTCATTTGAATTTGCTTGTCCAAAACTTGTATGGTAATAAAGATAATATTATGTAGCATTTAAAAATAGTAAAGTAATAATAATTATTATTATTTTTATTTTTATTATTAAATGTTGTACATAAGTGTGAACAAGGCTACAAGATGACATATTCACTGAACTCATATTATTTTATCGTTGCCATAATAATTTAGATTATGATTTTAAGAATCATATTTTGAAATTCATTTTAATTTGCTTGTGCAAAACTTTTATAGTAATAAAGATAATATTATGTAACATTTAATAATAGTAATTATTATTATTATTATTATTATTATTATTATTATTAAATGTTATATTGAGGTGTGAACAAGACTACAGGCTGACGTATTTACTGAACTCATATTATTTTATCGTTGCCATAATAATTTAGTTTATGATTTTAAGAATCATATTTTGAATCCATAAAAGATAATATTATGTAACATTTAGTAATAGTAATTATTATTATTATTATTATTATTATTATTATTATTATTATTATTATTATTATTATTATTATTAAATGTTGTACAGAGTACAGAGGTGTGAACAAGGCCGCAAGTTGACATATTCACTGAACTCATATGTACTGAATCGCTAGATTTTTTTTTTTTTTTTTTTTTTTTTTTTTTTTTTAGAACAATCGCTAGGGACATTATTTCTTGATGCCATTATTTCTTTTTTAATAGGCCGTTTGGTTGGAGAGAATTAATTAAGAGAAAATGAATTGTAATTCAGTTGAAAAAGAATAACGTGGGAATAAAGTAGAAATTTAAATTATATTATTTGGTAATGAATAATAAAATTATTGCTAAATTGGAAGGGAAGAAGTGATATAAAGACTAAAATGTTAATGTGAATAATAATCATCATCATCATCAATGACAAAAGAGTCATTTAATTTTTTTTTCTTTCCCCACTGCTCTGAATTACAATTCAAAGTGACCGATGGAGACAAAGGGCCAAGGAGCTATGGTATGCTCGGGGGACTGTAACACGTGTTTTTTTCATACGTCTGTTAACTTTCGTAGGAGGAAGAATAAAATCCACTCTTTGAGGAATTCCATTGGATAGCCCATAACAGATGAGGATGGCAAATGAGCTATTATGGTTGATTATTTCCTGAATTTGTTCACTACAGAGGAGGGAAATGATTATTTACTGGAACGTGGTGGGAGATGAGGTAGTTCTCTTTTGTAAAACTTTTCTAGCTACTAGTCTTTTACATGAGTCGATAAATGCTACCCATATTATTTTAATCCCGAAAAAGAAAAACCCCGATTTAATGTCAGATTTTCGCCTAATTTCATTATGTAATGTTGTTTACCGCATTTTGGCGAAACTCTTAGCGAATAGGTTTCGCGGGGTGCTAGACTCTGTTATTTCTAATGCTCAAAGTGCTTTTATCCCGGGTCGTTCTATTGTTGATAATGTTTTAATTGCTTATGAGTATGTCTATGCTATGAATCGTTGTAAAAGGGGTGGAGCGGGTTTTGGTGCTTTAAAGATCGATATGAATAAGGCTTATGATCGGGTGGAGGTGGGTGTTCTAGGTAGGAAAATAGAAAGATTGGGTTTTAGTAGGCGGTGGGTGAGCTTGATGAGGGAGTGTGTGTCGACTGTGGATTACAGGGTGTTGGTGGAGGGGAAGGAATGGGGGCCCATAATTCCTTCTAGGGGTTTAAGGCAAGGCGACCCTCTTTCGCCTTGCCTTTTTCTCGTTATAGCAGAAAGTTTGAGTGCGATGTTGAAAAGTAAACAAGAGGAAGGGTTTTGCATGGGGTTAGTGCTGCGAGGGGGGCTCCTAAAATATCTCATTTGTTCTTTGCCGACGATTGTTTATTCTTTTTCAAAGCGAATAACTTCGAGGAAAGTATCACTAAGGATATTTTGGGTGAGTACGGGGAAGCGAGTGGTCAGCGGGTGAATTTAGAGAAATCTGCTATTATCTTTGGGCAAAATGTTGAGAGGGAGGATAAGGAGGTTGCTTGCGAAACTTTGAGAATTCATGAACAGCTTACTAGGGGCAATTATCTGGGGTTGCTAGGGTATGTGGGGAGGCGAAAGAGGGAGAATTTGGATTTTGTTAAGGAGAAAGTCCGGGCTAGGATTCTTCATTGGGGGAATCGGTTTTTGTCTAGGGCTGGCCGAGAGGGTCTTCTTAAGACAGTCCTCCAGAGTATCCCAAATTACTCCATTAATGTTTTTTTACTGCCAAAGGGTACGTTATGTGTGTTGAGAATGAGAGAATTATGAATGCTTTCCGGTGGGGATGTGAGAGTCGAGGAAGAAAGGGGATTTGGTAGAGCACATGGGCTGACTTGTTAGATTAGTTGGATTTGCTAATCATTAGTGGGTATATCATTTATGCTCAAGAATAAATGATTAATTACCAATTTGGTCCATCGACTATGAGGATTTCACCACTTTGGTCCTTGACTTTCACAATTTCTCAATTTAGTCCCCGACTATGTTTTTTTTACCCGAAATGGTCATAACTGTTAGACATCCATTAACTTGGGACGAAATTGGTAAAATTTTGCTATAGTCAAGGGACCATTTCAGTAATTAACTTTTAGAGAAAATAGTGCAAGTGATGACCGAAATGGTCCCTTGACTATAGCAAAATTACCAATTTGGTCCCGAGTTAACGAATGTCTAACGGTTAGGACCATTTCGGGTAAAAAATGCATAGTCGAGGATGTAATTGGTCAATTTTGAAAGTCGAGGACCAAAGTAGTGAACCTTCATAGTCGAGGGACCAAATCGGTAATTAACTCATAATAAATTTATTAGTGGGAGTAATGGTTTGATCAGTGGGAGTGATCATTTTAAAGGTCAATAATATAAGATGCCCCGTTTGATTAGTGGAAGTGATCATTAAAGATGTCCCACTTCAAGATTGCTCCACTTCAAGGATAAGACACCTTGCCTTGTTATTATAAAATCAATAGTTCAAATTGTTGTGCAACATATTTCTGAAAATGTTGTAACAACATTAATAGTTTTTATTATAACAATGGCATTAAGTTTATGGTGAACTATCACGAGTTAGATTCTTTAGCATTTGTTGGAGTCTTTCGTTTCATCAAGTTGATCCTAAGCAATTAAGATTTAAAAGGCTCAAAATTCAGTGTTGAGAGACATAAAGCATGCAAAGACTCATGATGTTGGTTCATATAGATGAATCTTGGGGATTTTTTGTTATGATGATATGATATTTTTGTTGTTTCATAAAGTTACATTAATAAATCATCATTATTGCTCTCGGGCATAAAAGGTGGACTTCCTTTTTTGTTTTGAAGATTATTTATAAGGTGTATGTTTAACGTTCCATTTTGTGGGCTTAGGCTCATAGATTTGTTATCTAAGCCGTTGGAATATGGACTACTTAATTACTGTCTTTGGCTAAAGATTCATGAGAGTAGTGGCAGACGTGTCAACTCTGAAAACTTAGATGTTAGCGATAATATTAAAGATAATGAGTTAGTCATGCAATATATTAGCATTTTGCTAATAGTTTCGGATCCCACTCAAGGCATGCTTATAAGAATTGTAGGGATCATACATGGTACATGGAACATATTATGTGACTATATTGTACGTACATTTATGTTGTCACTTCTATGTAATTTTGAAGGTTTCTCTTATGGTTATGCGCATATTTATTTGAGAGACATCCCTAAGGTTGGACCAAGAATAAACGTAGGGTTTATTCATAGAGAACCTGTGTTGAGAATCAAAATGCATGTGATGCATAGATGGTAGTTCTCACACTTTAAGAGGACATACCACTATAATTCATGTTTTTTTTTAATCTTCAAACAAAGGTTGTGCCAATACTTGCACCAAGTGGAAAATTGTAACATTTTTCATTAATATTGTACGAATGAAGTTGTGGAAAGTTTATTAGGCCAAATTTAGCCATTGTGCATTAATTAGTTTTCGATAACTAATTACAATCAAGAATGAACATAAGGTTTATTCATTAAATTTTATACCACAAAAGATACTTAGAGAACAAGTTACATTGGAATCATAAATGGATACTACTCTTATTAAGAGGAAATATCTCTATGGTTCATGTTTTTTGCTTCTTTGAGTTAATACTTGCACCAAGTGGGAGAATGTAACACTTTCCATTATACTACTATTTATGGTGCAAGTTAATAAGCCATTTATGGCCATTATATTGTGATTTGAAACGGAAGTAACGAGTTTCCATTACTTAGCCTATAATGATAACATGTAGGCTATTTAAGCATGGTCCTCCCACTACTTCTGTTGCAGTCTTACAACTACACCATCTAGTTTCTTAGGAGATCAAGTGATAGACAAAACTTAATTCCTTACTGTTCTTCAAACAATGCAATAGGAGATTACAACCATGGCTAGAGATGCTTAATTTAATCGTATGCTTCCGCTATGAAGTTAGATTATGATTACAAGTACTATGATTGAGAAGATGAAATTAATTTGAGTGTTGTCAAGATTTAACAAGTAGAAAGAGATGTGAATGGCGTTCTCTAATTATATTATTTTATAAATAATAACCAAATTAAACAAGAGTTACAATATAGATGAAACATAAAACTTAGAATAGTACGCACAAGTCTTGTTACTAATTAGAAGCAGTTGCCGCTGCGGGGTTGAATCGCTTGGTGTTGAAGGCAACAAGTTTATCTCTTGGAGGTAAGGTGTTCTTGATTACATCACAGTTAAGAAAATCCTCCTTCCAACGACATAGATGAGGGAACTTTTCTTCCGTTACGCCCAATTTCACCCCTATAACTTCTTCAAAAACCCCCAACCATAAAGTGATGAAATTGGCGGCTAAATCTGCAAGTCCGATCGTCTCTCCTCCGAAAAACTTCTTGTTCTTGAATTCATTGTCGAGAATTTTCAGAAGCTCATAAACTTCCTCTTTTCCCTTCTCTTGCTCCTCGCCTTTGGTAAATACTGCTTTCTTGACTGCAAGCAAGAACTGCAACATAACATGGACGTCAGAAAATTGAAAAGCTAAGGGAAATTAAATAGAAATAGTAGATCAGAGTTTAGCAGATTTACCTTGTCGTCGAAGAACTTAGCCCAGAAACGAGCCAAGGCTCTCTGGTAAGGATCTTTAGGCAATATGGGAGTGCCCGGAAAGACCTCGTCGATATACTCGAGGATGACAAGAGACTCAGGTAGTAGGTTTCCGTTGTGCAGGAGGACAGGAACTTTCTTGTGGACAGGGTTGTATTTGAGAAGCAAGGGGCTCTTGTTGGATAGATCTTCTTGTATGAATTCATATTCAACTCCCTTCAGTTTGAGAGCAATCTCAACACTTGCGCTATAAGGGCTTGCCCAACTGCCAAGAACCTTCACTTCTGCCATTATCTCGATCTGGGTGTATAAATTCTGTGTTAATCAGTCAGTGTGTGTCTCTGTTCTGGGTATGTTTATTGGCTTGATTTATATAAGGATGGAACATAGGTGTGAACAAGGCCGGTGAATTTTCTTACCAGTCCAGAAAGTAGTGTAGCATTCTTGACTAAAACTTGGCTATTATTACTTTATTTATTTATATTTTCTGACTAAAAAATAATTTGTACTGTTTCATCTATATTTGCTTGACTATTGAGCTCTCCTTGGTTAGGCTTCTTAATATTTTGTCCAACACTTTTGCGTGATAGCACTAGCTAGAATGCTCAATCGTTATACACTGCATCACGGCGCACAGTGCACTGTGCATCCCGTGCCTCCCAAAATGATGTTGTTTTGGGAGGCGCGGTAGGAAGTTGACATGATTATGTATATTTGTTTATACAATTATGTATATTTTGTATACAATTATGTACATTTTTTTATACAATTATGTACATCCGAATCAGGAAATTTTTGTGTATTATGTTAAGAGTTGATGTATATTATGTTAAAAGTTTATGTTTATTATGTATTATGTTAGATTATGTGTATTATCTTTTAAAAAAAGAGTATGTGTATTTTGTTATATAATTATGTACATTCATGTATACAATTATATGTATTCTAGTATAACATTATGTATATTTTTGAACATGAGATTTTTTTGAGGAAAATTAACTGCCAAACACTGGGTAGCGAAATTTCAAAAAAAAAAAAAAAAAAAATTGAAACGACATCGTTTTGTATCTGGGCGCACAATGCAACGCGTGTCGTGGTGTAGGATATAAATTGTCTAGAATGCTCGATGATTTTGTTCCCCACAAACAAAGCATGCTTCTCTTTGGGATAACTCCAACCAATATGACAAAATTAAAATCAACACTTATAACCACAAAAGCACGACTTCATAATCTAATGAGTGAATAACTAAAGTTTACATTAACTAACTCATATAGCTAAGAAAGTGATTTAACTATTCAATTCATATATAATATAATAAAAGGGATAAAGGTCAAATAGACCCTCATACTATATAGTAAAGTGCAATTGGACCCTCAAACTAAAAGAACATCCAATTAGACCCTTGAACTTATTAAAACAATGCAATTAACCCATTTAACCTATAATAGCAAGTTATATACAAGATGCTACATCACTTGAATCAATATTTTTAAATTTATTTTTAAAAAATAAAATAATTTTAATAAAATAAAGGAAACAAGCAAACAGAAAAGTCATTGCAGCTGCAGCAGGTGGCGAGGCTCTTTCCGGCGACCTCTGTTTTTCCGGCGAGCAGAGGCCACCGGCGACTTCCTCTTGTTTTCACTCCCTCCAGCAGCCCCGGCAAACCAGCGGTAGTAACTTCCCCTCCGACGTTTAGTAGATCGACGACGTTTGGACCTCGTACGGAACCAACAACAACTCCTGTGAACAATCTATTTTGGCGAAGCATGATGTGTTTCTCGACGACCTCTCCTTCCCGTCGACCTTGACCGGCAACCTTGGCAATGGTGTTGGACCAGCTGTTGGTGGTGATGGTGAAGTTACGGCGATGGTAGCAAGATCGGATGAGCAGCAACGTATTTTGAAGAAGATGGATGGTGATGTGTCGATGATGAGATGTTCTTGACGATGATGATGCTTGGCTTACAAAAGCAAAATTGTGGAAGTAATGGAAATGGATTAAGGAGGTAAATGATGGTTATGATTAATAATGGATTAAGCAAGCCGGCAAACATGCAGCTTCACAGCCTTCACTGCTTCGACTTCCTGTAAATTTTTATTTTTATTTTTATTTTTTTTTAATTGAATTTAACCGGTTACCTTTTAGCAACCCATTAAATATGTTAATTGCATTGTTTTAATATGTTCAAGGGCAAATTATGCTGTGCATCCGTATGCACCATGCATCGTGCATACGGATGCAAAAACGACGTCGTTTTAATAAAACGCGCGTCTCCCCTTTAAAAAAATCAAGTTTGATTCCCAGCAACAACATATGAACTAAAATTCCATAATCGATGAACTATAATTCCATAATCTATGAACTAAAAATTCCATAATCTATAAACAAACAAGTGTTACAACCTAGATGAGACATAGACATTACTCTATTACAACATAAATAAAAATAAAACAGTACAACTCTTCTCTTCTCTAAAAAAACAAAAACAAAAAAAACACAAAAGCTTACTCAGAAGTTTTCGCCGGCTTGAATCGCTCAGTGAAGTAGGCAACAAGTTTATCTCTAGGAGCAAAGGTCTCCTTGATTACGTCGCTGTTCAAGAAATCCTTCTTCCACCGACATAAATGAGGGAATTTTTCTTCCGTCACTCCCAATTCCACCCCCATAACTTCTTCCACAACTCCAGCCCATAAGGCAATGAAATTTCCGGCTATATCTGCAAGTCCGATCGTCTCCCCTCCCAAGAACTTCTTCTTCTTCAATTCATTGTCCAGAATTTTCAGAAGCTCACAAACTTCCTCTTTTACCTTCTCTAGCTCCTCGCCTTTGGTAGACCGTACTTTCATCGTTGCAGGCAACACCTGCAAAATCCAAAACACAAATAAAAGCTAAATCTTGAAGCAGATAGATCAAATGGACGAATTATAGTAGATTTACCTTGTCGTCTATGAACTTAGCCCAGAAACGAGCCAAGGCTCTCTCGTAAGGATCTTTGGGCAAAATGGGAGTGCCCGGAAAGGTGTCGTCGATATACTCGAGAATGACAAGAGACTCAGCTATTGGGTTTCCGTTGTGCAAGAGCACAGGAACTTTCTTGTGCACAGGGTTGGATTTGAGAAGCAAGGGGCTCTTGTTGGAGAGATCTTCTTGTATGAATTCATACTCAACTCCCTTGAGTTTAAGAGCGACCTCAACTCTTGCGCTAAAAGGGCTTATCCAACTACCTATGACCTTCACTTCTGCCATTATCGCACAACTTTTACTTCTTCAATTCTGCGTTAACTGGTATCTGTGTGTCTCTTTCCTGGGTTATTGGCGGGATTTATACAAGGATGGAACAGTAATGTGAACAAGGCGGGCTAAAATTGACATTCCTATCATTCGAGATTCATGTATTAGTTATTCGTAGTTTCTTTGACGACTAAGCTACTTAAATAATCTGGATTACTCGCATGGAGCCTAGTTTATTATCTTTTTTTTTTTAATGCTGATGACGTATTGAGTGAACTCATCATCTTCCATTCTTCAACTACTTCTCCATACAACCCTTTAAAATACGGGCACAACCCTTATCCAATGCACCTGTACCTTCCAAGTTCCAATAATATATCAAAGTCATTTTCCGGATTTTTAAACGGATCCTTAAATTTATTAATAAAAAATTCAAGGCTCAAGTGTCAAATCGCACCATGAATCAATTGCGATATGTCATGTCGCACCCTGATCTTTCATATCTACTATTTTAATACACAAACAATAAAATTTTGTTCGTCTAAACTTTTTAGCAGGTTGCTATCAAGTTACAGGTTATAATATGGTAAGGTGGAGGTGCTTTTTTTATTGACCAAAATTTTTACTTTTCCGCACTGTCTTTCTCCATTCATCATTCCATCATTCCACTGGCAGACTTGTCGACGTATAGAGGCAAATGATCAACTCCAGGCTCCAGCGACTTCCAGCAAAGAATTGAGTATGAAAAAATTCTCAGGTATTGTTCGAGCTTTAGGAGGGTTGGGCATAATCTGATTGAGTATCGAAGGGGAAAGAATTGAAGGCCGGCGGTGGACGAAACCCAGTAGCTCCACCATTACACTAAACCAACACAAATGGATGAAACCCAGTAGCTCCAAAACCAACTCAATTCAATTCAATTCAACTAGGTTTCAGTTCCAAAGGCATATCCTAATCTTTCTGGGTAGGAAGGGATTTGGGTGAAGAGCAAGAAAGGGGTTTTGAGTTTAACCAATCAGAAAATTGCTACCCTTTCAAAAAAAAATGAAAATTTCTGCGTTTTCTTTGAGTTTCATATCTTCGGTAGAAGAAGCAATCATTTTGTTTATAGTAACAGTATCGCTCTATCGCCTATTCCTTGAGTCATATTTAAGATTTGGTATATTCACACTTTGAAAGCTTTCTTTTTATTTGGCAGTGAGTGGCAACGGCAATAGCAAAGGCGGCAGCAGGCGGAGGAGGAAGATATGAAAAAGTCAACTTCTTGCTGCCGGCGAGAGTGGAGACCAAAGGCCTCCGCCACACGCCTTCACCGGGGCTCCTGTAGTCGAGAGAGTGATACAGAGAAAACAAATCTGGAGAAGAACAGAGAAATAAAGAGAGGCGTGAAGAAGTTTGTGAATAGCTTGAATAGGTTTTGCTCTGACGTAGGGAAGGCACCAACCATCATCTTTCTCAAACCCACTAGTATATCGGTTGTATGAGAGAATCAGAGAATGAAGATCTACCAAGAGAAGGAAGGCCGCGAAACTTCCCGGTGATTTACAAGAGGAGCTCAGTCGAATGGCCTTCAGTCCACATCAGCACATAATCCTTGAGGTGGGTGTTGAATCTTAAAAATAAGTCCACGTCAACACATAACTGTTGCCATGTCATCAAGGCAACCTGGAAACCTACTAAAAAGTCTAGACGAACAAAATTTTATGGTTTGTGTATTGAAACAACATATATGAAAGATCAGGGTGCGGCATGACATATCACAATTGGTTCATGGTGTGATTTGACACTTGAGCCAAAATTCAATGTAATGTGAAGGTGAGACCACCTTTGAAAGTGATCGAAAGAGTATTATAGAGATGTAGAGAGAGTAGTAAAGAAATTACAAATTGATGATGTGGAGATATGACCACAAAGTCAGAGAGTATTGCGGGGATGATTTTCCGATAAATAATAAAGGCAACTTGACAGGCGAGGGACGATTGTTCTGGAAGCTCCTTCGATAGGCATAGTTGACTTGCTCCAACTCAAGGTAGCACGGGCATACTCCTAGATAACAAGATTGTAAGACCCTTCTAAGAGAATCTTAGTTGATGCACCAAAAAAGTATTTTTGACCATTTATACTGATGAGATATGCACCCAGAGACCGGATGGATGAATAACTCGGCAGGCCTGTAAGCGAGGACGATAGGCGATTGAGAAGAAGAAGGGATATGTATTGCCAAGGCAAAAGATGGTAAATGCTGATTTTCCTAGAGTCATCAACTCGGATGAGGCGCCTGCAACAGGACTCATTCGGAAGGACGGACGAGTCAGCGAGCCATCCTGAGCGGGGAGAGTGAGGAAGCCATCCTGCTAGGCAGATGACTAAGAGAGCCATTCAGAGGAGCCGGACGGGTGTAAGATTCAGAATAGACCGAGCGAGTGGAGAACCCGGGACCAAGTGAGTAAAGAAGCTGTTCAGAATGGTGCGGGCGAGTTAAGGAAGTCGGGAGATCGGGACCGAGTCAGAAAGGGTCTAATACCTGATGAATGAAGGAGCCAGTCAAGATGATCCGAGAGGGTCAATGAGCCAAGACGAGCCGAGAGGGACAATTCTAGGGTCGGGTGATGAAGGGAGTCGTAAGGAGAAGAGCTTGAACAATCTGTTGAGATTAGCCTTTAACGTGCAGTTAATGAGGATCAAAGGCCATTATGAGGCATGTCGTGGAAGAGGGCTGGAGCCGGCCATGGTTAGGGTATAATTAAGGTATTTACTGTTCATTATTAGCTCATTAAATGTATTAATAATAGGCTGAGCTCAACAGTCACTCGGACCGCTATATAAGGCATTTGTAGGGCACTGAGTAGAGAGCTAAGCATTTCTAATATACACGAGTGATTTTGTGAGGACATTCTCTATTATTTTTCAACAATCTACCTTCTTTTTCGATAGTGTTAGATCCAGGGTAAACTGTCCTAAAGGTCAACAAACCAACATATACGTAGCAGGAATCCATGAAATGAAACATAGATGGTCAAGATGAAATTAATTTGATCATATATTATGGTCAAGATTTAACAAATGGAGAGAAATGCCAATGATCTCCTCTCATTATTTTATTAATAATAACCAAACAAGAGTCACGTTGCAACATAGATGACACATAAACATTACCTTATTACAACATAAATAAAACTAGAATAGTACAACTCTTCTCTTACAAACGTCTCAATCTAAGAAGTGTTTCAACAACTTAACGCAAGCAGATTGCACCTTTGAGTCTCGGACTAAAAAAAGAAAAACACAAAATGCATTTGCTTATTACTCAGTAGCAGTTGCCGCTTCTGGGTTGAATCTCTTGTTGTTGAAGGCAACAAGTTTATCTCTTGGAGGAAAGGTCTCCTTAATTACATCACAGTTGAGAAAATCCTGCTTCCACCGACATAAATGAGGGAATTTTTCTTCCGTCACGCCCAATTCCACCCCTATAACTTCTTCAAAAACTCCCATCCATAAGGCGATGAAATTGGCGGCTAAATCTGCAAGTCCGAAAGTCTCCCCTCCAAGGAACTTCTTGTTCTTGAGTTCATTGTCGAGAATTTTCAGAGCCTCACAAATTTCCTCTTTTCCCGTCTCTTGCTCTTCGCCTCTGATAAATAGTGCTTTCCTGGCCGCAGAAAAGAACTGCAGATCGAAAATTGAGAAGTTAAATCTTGAAACGGATTAAATAAAAATATATAGTTTAGTAGATTTACCTTGTCGTCTATGAACTTAGCCCAGAAACGAGCCAAGGCTTTCTCGTAAGGATCTTTGGGCAAAATGGGAGTGCCCGGAAAGGTGTCGTCGATATACTCGACGATGACGAGAGACTCAGGTAGTGGGTTTCCGTTGTGCAAGAGCACAGGGATTTTCTTGTGGACTGGGTTGGATTTGAGAAGCAAGGGGCTCTTGTTGAACAGATCTTGTTGTATGAATTCATATTCAACTCCTTTGAGTTTGAGAGCAATCTCAACAGCTGCGCTAAAAGGGCTTGCCCAGTGACCTAGGACCTTCACTTCTGCCATTATATATCTTTCTATCTGGATCTCAACTTTTGCTACTTCAATTCTGTGTGTCTCTGTTCTGGGTTCTTGGCCTCATCATTTATACAAGGCTGGCGGTGAGTTTTCGTAGCAGCCAAGAAAGTTTTGTTTTTTTTTCCCAACTTTCTTGACTAAACAATATGGACTGACTAGCTAGAGGCTTGGTATGATGAAAATTTTTGGAGGCTGACCTATTCAGTGACGTTAATGCCCTGTCATCTTGCTATCTTGGCCAATGAAACCATTACATTTTTTCGCCCAATTGATGCGACATGGGGATAGCAGATATGTTCATTTCGGTTGTGCATTGGTGCATTGATTATTTATGCATAACGCACCAATGCCCAAAAAATATCATTAGATACGTATTACCACAAAATGCACTATTAGGCCAAAATGCACTATTAGGCATTAGTTATGCATAAGCGCACCACACATTGTTCGTAAATATACTTAATAGTATATGTTACATTGATCAAATTAGCTCATACAATTCACTAATAACTATGAGGATATATTGCAGCATGTAGTGTCCCTCACCCGGATTGTTTTTCACCACTTATGGCCGAAGCATTCGCATGCAAGGAAGTCTTATCATGGTTAATTAAAAGATCGAGGCGAGCGGTCAGTAGAGCTATATACAGATTGCATCTCATTACAGCGTTATCTTACTTCACCACCATCTACAGTTCGTTTCTACATTGGCTATACTATTGATAGCTACATAAATATTACGTCTTTGTTTGATTTATGTTCATTTAAATTTATTCCTAGATCAGACAATTATTTAGCGCATACTTTAGCATCTATTACTTTCCAACAGTTTACTGTTATGTATTGTGATCTATTCCCATCGGACATTATTACGGCTTATTTCAAATGAATATACCACTTATTATTTTCAAAAATAAAAATAAAAAAAATTTGACCATTTACAGAGAAATTGAGAACAATTCAATGAGTGACTTGAGGGCAATCACCCGGCCTTTTAAGTTTTAAGGGGTTGCAGGAAAATGTTGACGGATAGAGGGCTTATTAGTGTCCTCCAATTCAAGAAGCTAGGTAATAAAAACGCTGATTATCTGACAAAAAAATATGATCATTTATACGTAGCGAGGAATTCATGAAATGTAACATAAATTGTCTTGATGAAATTAATTTGAATATATATTATTGTCATGTCAAGATTTATCAAATAGAAATAAACGCCAAAGAGTCAAAGACCTCCCCTCATTATTTTATTAATAATAACAAAACAAGAGTTGCAACATAGATGACACATAACATTATCTTATTACAAGAGAGATAAAACTAGAATAGTAAAACTCTTCTCTTTAAAGTGTTTCAACAACTTAACGCAAGCAGATTGCACCTTTGAGTCTATGACTAAAAAATAAAAAACACAAATTGGCCCTGTTTGGTAAAATGGCTGTTAGTCGTTAGCTGATTGTGTTAATTAGAGAGTATAAATAGTTGATAACATTGGCTGATTGTAGAAAAATATTTGGTAAATTAACTGTTAGCTGATAGCTGTTTAGTATAATTTCTTTTCTCAAAAAGCTAATTGAAAAAGTTGCTTAGAGTAGCTTTTTGAATTTTAGCATTTTGGAGTTGCAAAAAGCTAATTAATTAAATATTTATATTGATATTTTAACTAAATCAAACAATTAATAGTGGTCAAATAAACCAAAATTGACCTATTGTCCAATTTTTTACCAAACAGGGCCAAAATGCATTTGCTTATTACTCAGTAGCAGTTGCCGCTTCTGGGTTGAATCTCTTGTTGTTGAAGGCAACAAGTTTATCTCTGGGAGGAAAGGTCTCCTTAATTACATCACAGTTGAGATAATCCTGCTTCCACCGACATAAATGAGGCAATTTTTCTTCTGTCAAGCCCAAATCCACCCCTATAAGTTCTTCAAAAACTCCCATCCATAAGGCGATGAAATTGGCGGCTAAATCTGCAAGTCCGATCGTCTCCCCTCCAAGGAACTTCTTGTTCTTCAGTTCACAGTCGAGAATTTTCAGAGCCTCACAAACTTCCTCTTTTCCCTGCTCTTGCTCTTCGCCTTTGGTAAATGCATTCCTTACCGCAGAAAAGAACTGCATATCGAAAATTGAAATTAAAATTTAAATGTTGAAACGGATTAAATAAAAGAATAGTTTAGTAGATACGATTTACCTTGTCGTCTATGAACTTAGCCCAGAAACGAGCCAAGGCTTTCTCGTAAGGATCTTTGGGAAAAATGGGAGTGCCCGGAAAGGTGTCGTCGATATACTCGACGATGACGAGAGACTCAGGTAGTGGGTTTCCATTGTGCAAGAGCACAGGGACTTTCTTGTGGACAGGGTTGGATTTGAGAAGCAAGGGGCTCTTGTTGAACAGATCTTGTTGTATGAATTCATATTCAACTCCTTTGAGTTTGAGAGCGATCTCAACAGCTGCGCTAAAAGGGCTTGCCCAGTGACCTAGGACCTTCACTTCTGCCATTATATTATCTGATCTCAACTTTTGCTACTTCAATTCTGTGTGTCGCTGTTCTGGGTTATTGGCTTCATCATTTATACAAGGCTGGCGGTGAGTTTTCGTACCAGCCAAGAAATAAAAGTTTAGCTTTTTCTCCCCCTGCTTTCTTTACGACTAAACAATATGGACTGACTCGCTAGAGCCAAGAGGCTTCGTATGATGAAAATTCTTGGAAGCTGACCTATTCAGTGATATCATCACTTTCTACTAGTCCAACACTTGTCTAATGTACCTCTGCCTTCCAATAATGTATTAAACATGAGTGTATATTCATTAAAACAAAAATTTAATTGGGTGTTTAGAAAATGATTTGATCAATTTTAATTATTTGACCAGCTAAAATAATCAATTTCTCAAATAGAAGTTCTCACTTAAACCGGACCATCCATATATATATATATATATATATATATATATATATATATAATAAAGTTCAAATGCGGCGCGGTCTTCCCGTGCGGCGGAATTTCAGAATACACCAACAGTGTTAACAATATGCACCAACAGTGTAAGAAAAACACACCACAATGAAATGCAATAAAACATCACAAAATACACAACAGACTAAAAAAATACACCATATAACTCACCACCCCCAATGGTGTATTTCTGAACAGTGTATGGTGTTTTTACTCACACCTAATGGTGTGTGTTTGGTGATGCAGGACTCTGTTTACTCTATTTTGTGTGGTGTATTTTCCTAACGTTGATGGTGCATATTTGTTGAACTATTGGTGTTGCCGCACCGTAAGAAATCACCGCACCGTAAGACACTACCGCACCTGAACCCGCCTCTATATATATATATATATATATATATATATATATATATATATATATATATATATTAAACCACACTCTTTGACTGATAAAATAGACATAATCAATTTGATAAATATTTCAAATTTTAATTGAACTGAATTCAAATATTTATCGATTAAAATAATTTAATTAATTTCAACATTAGACAATGCAAAATTCCAAAGGTCTAGTGGAGTCTTACAAAATGGTAATACCAGTGTGTATGTATGTTGTCCTGGTGTTACAATTGTTATATCGTGCACCAGGGCACACAATGTATTGTGCGCCTTAAAAATCTTTTGTTTTATATATACATATTTGTATAGTAGAATACATATAAATCTTAACATAATACTTAATACACATAAACTCTTAACATAATATACATAAACTCTTAATGTAATACAAGATTGTAACACCCCTTCAAGGGGTCTCAGTTGATGCGAAAAAAAAAAAAAATTGACCATTTAATTTATAAGTAGCGACGAATTTATGAAATATAACATAGATTGTTGAGATGAAATTAATTTGATTATATGTTATTGTCAAGATTTAACAAGTAGAGAAAAATACAATTATACAAATGACCTCTCATTATTTTATTAATAATAAACAATCAAGAGTTGCAACATAGATGACACATAACCGTACATTACCTTATTACAACAAAAATAAAACTAGAATAGTACAACTCTCATCTTACAAACGTACGTCTCAATCTAAAAAGTGTTTCAATAACTTAACGCAATCAGATTGCACCTTTGAGTCTCTGACTAAAACAAAAACACAAAATGCATTTTGCTTATTACTGATCAGTAGTACTTGACGCTTCTGGGTTGTATCTCTTGTTGTGGAAGGCAAAAAGTTTATCTCTTGGAGGTAAGGTCTTCTTAATTACATCACAGTTGAGAAAATCCTCCTTCCACCGACATAAATGAGGGAATTTTTCTTCCGTCACGCCCATTTCCACCCCTAAAACTTCTTCAAAAACTCCCATCCATAAGGCGATGAAATTGGCGGCTAAATCTGCAAGTCCGATTGTCTCCCCTCCAAGGAACTTCTTCTTCTTCAATTCACTGTCGAGAATTTTCAGAGCCTCACAAACTTCCTCTTTTCCCTTCTCTTGCTCTTCGGCTTCGCCTTTGGTAACTAGTACTTTCTTGGCCGCAGTAAAGAACTACAGATCGAAATGAGAAATTAAATTTTAAATCTTGAAACGGATTAAATAAAAATATATAGTAAAGTAGATTTACCTTGTCGTCTATGAACTTAGCCCAGAAACGAGCCAAGGCTCTCTCGTAAGGATCTTTAGGCAAAATGGGAGTGCCCGGAAAGGTGTCGTCGATATACTCGACGATGATGAGAGACTCGGGTAGTGGGTTTCCGTTGTGCAAGAGCACAGGGATTTTCTTGTAGACAGGGTTGGATTTGAGAAGCAAGGGGGTCTTGTTGGGGAGATCTTCTTGTATGAATTCATATTCAACTCCTTTGAGTTTGAGAGCAATCTCAACACTTGCGCTAAAAGCGCTTGCCCAGTGACCTAGGACCTTCACTTCTGCCATTATTATCTCTCAACTTTTTGCTACTTCAATTCTGCGTTAACTGGTGTTTCTGTGTTCTGTTCTGGGTTATTGGCTTCATCATCATTTATATAAGCTAAGGATTGAACAAGGCTGGCGGCGAGTTTTCGTAGCAACCAAGAAAGTTTTGTTTTTTTTTTTTGTTTTCCCCTACTTTCTTGACTAAACAAATATGGACTGACTCGCTAGAGGCCTGGCTTGGTAATTGCTACGATGAAAAGTTTTGGAAGCTGACCTATTCAGTGATATCATCACCTTCTGGCTTATGGTAGTCCAACCACGTCTTACCGTCGAACACTGTGACTAATCACGTTGTTAATGCACGGTCATAAATTCTTTGATTTAAAAGTTTCTTAAGCAGGCTGGTCCTATTAAGGGGCAAAATGTTGATAAAATTGATTTTTTATACGAAAGAGGGTTTAAACTCTCGACCTTTCTTAAGAGACAGCAAGAGTGCTTAACTATTCACTCCAATCAAGCTGGTTATCTGAAATAAAATTTGTAACTCCATTGTGCTTTGAATGAAATCTGCTGATTATAGAATTCTGTTGCTTGGTTTAATGGATTCCTTTGTTTATAAGAGTATCCATACTAGTGGTTTTTTCTTAGTTTTTTGTAGGGTCTAAGGTAAGGTGGATGATAGAGAAGAATGAGAGAGAAGACATTTTGATCTCCTGCATGGTAAGTTTTTTGTGGACTCCAATGAGAAAGAAGGAGATAAGACATTTCTTTTGTCTCATAATGCTATTTTTTTCCCCTCTTTTTTTCTTCTTATCTCTCTCCTACTTGACTTCTTAAATATTATGTAAAAATCAACTGATATGGACGCTCTTTTTAAGTGCTACATAAATCAACGAGTTACCATTTTGGTTCCTTGACTATTAAGTGATGCGCAATTTAGTCCCAAACTATTAAAAGTACTCAATTTAGTCTTCTAAGTTATAAAATCATACCCAATTTGGTACTCCGTTACAATTGCCATCTATCCACCATTATATAGATGGGCAAAAACGTCCTTTTATCTAAAGTCGAGGGACCAAAATGAGTATTAACTATTATTATCTAATAGTCGAGGGACCAAATGGGTATTAACTTTATTTTTATTTATTTATTTATTTTACCTTTCAAATATTGTTTTTTTCCTTTCTTTTTCCTTTTTCTTTCGTCTTTTCTCTTTTCTAATTATATCTACAAAAACTCTTCAAAAACTACTCTAAAAATCTTACTATTGAAAATGTTCTAAAAACCTATTCAAAATACATTAATAAGGATGCCCTTAATAAGTGTCATATATACACCTAGCTAGGTGACTATAGCTTCATTATTTTGATGCTAATGCGCTGTTATATATTTAAAAAGAAAATTTGTAATAAACTTTCTCACAAATCTTAAATTCTTTGATCTAAAATAAAATTTGTAATTACAAAGTATTATTTAATTGCGCTTTGAGTGAAATATATTGATTATAAAATTATGTTGCTTGGCTTAAGTGCTACTACATATATAATACGGACTACTCTTGTTTATTACAGCGTATTATTATTATTTTTAAAAATTTGTCAGATATATTAAAATTTTCAACTTTCGACTAATCCTTTATCATTTTTTAAAGATGATGACGTATTGAGTGAACTCATCATCTTCAACTACTACTACGACTCCATCCAACCCATTAAAATATAGCCATAATACTTTTCTAAAGCAAATTATTGTGTAGATCACGGTCTAAAATGACGTTGTTAAATATTATGAACAAGAATAATACACATTAAAAAAACTATCCATTGAAGAGCTAGTCCACGCCACCACTCCCACTTCCACCACTGACGCTAAGATGACTGTCAAGGAGGATGCAAGAGACTCCCAAGAAATGGGTACAGGAGCAAAAGATTCTCTCAGTGAAAAAGAAGACACTATTGGGGTTATTGTTGATCTTGCTAGCTAAACACTCCAGGGAAATGCCAAGCGAAAGAGCTAGGGGCAAGAACGAGCTCAGTGAAGCCAAGATGTTACTCGCCTAGCCTGGTCCCTTGAGCGAAACCCCCAAGAAACCAGAGGAGAAGAATTTAATTTAATGAAATTTAATAATTAAAATAATAATAATTTAGAAAGTTATATATTTGTAAAAGAGGGCTTTATTCACATTGAATTTTCTTTGTAATGACGTGTCGCATTGTGATTCACCGCTGGAGTATAGCATCTATACACCGACGGTGCATCAAATATTAATCCTATAAATAATCTGGGCTACTCTTGTTTATTACAGAGTATTTTATATATATATATATATATATATATATATATATATATATAGAAATATTTTTGTAATAAAGTTTTGATTAGCCAAATGTACTTTAGATCCTCTTAGAATTTAGGTCTTTAGTACAAGCATCATAATTCAGTATATAAAGTCAGTATGCAAAGGAAAATTTACTACATGAAGAACAAAATTAATTTGGAGAATTAATTTTGGTCCTATAAGTATTCATCCAGAAAAGAAGTATTAAACAATGGCATTACAACAAATAATTGGATGAGCTTAATGGTAGAAATCTATATATAATGTTCACACTCAAGATCGATTCCTTCTTAAGGACTTATTTTTTACAAGTCGGAATTTGAAGGAACACAATGTGGCCAAATCAAAAAAGCACAATGTATCAAGTCAAACAAGCAATAAGTGCCAAGTCAAACAAGCAAGATCCAAAGGAGCACAATGTTTGAACAAAGCAAGATGTGTCCAAGGAGCACAATGTTCAAAACAAGCACAATGTGTCTTTTAAGAATCAAAATGAGGCAAAGAAGCAAGATGATCAGAAAATAGATAAATTTGAAAGAATTTATTTTGATTCATCCCACATGCCATAAGAATTCAAATTGCCTGAAGATATGATCAGAACGGTAAAAAATTTATGAAGGCATGGATAAAAAATCTTGTCCTAGAAATAAATTCTATCAGAAGAATTTATTGCAAAGAGACGTTGAAAATTCAAAAATGACAAGGATAATAATATTTTAGAAACAACTTGAAAATCAAGTTGAAATAAAATATTATCTTTTCAGGCAAGTTGACAATCAAATCAAAATTGAAGACCTACTATTGTCAATAATATCAAGCTACAAGATTCAAATTTCAAATATCAAATTATCCCGCTCCAACGGATATATTTGATTATTTATAAAAAAAAAAGAAAAAAAAAAAAAAAAAAAAAAAAAAAAGGCCATGAAGACTTGAAGAGAGAATACACGACACACACAATAGAAGCGGATGAACAAGTGCAAGTGCTAAAATATTCCTTAAAATATCTAGAAAAGAGACTTAGTCTGAACAGTCTTAAATATAGTTGGAGAGAGATACAATTACATTTGTATTTGTAATTGTAAAAAGAGTATAGTTGTGTGCAAAATACTCTAGTGAGTGTAGCTGTGTGCAAAACACTCGTAGTTGCTAAGTGTAGCTGTGTGCAAAACACTTAGTTGGCGTTTGAGTATAGCTGTGTACAAAGTACTCGGAGTTGAGTGTAGCTGTGTGCGAAACACTCGAAGTTGGGTGTAACTGTGTGCAAGACATCCGGAAGAAGTGCTTGTGTAGCACTTATTCACTATTGTAACTGTGTGTGGAAAATAGTGAATTACTCCTAGAAGTAAATGGAGTAAAGTGGACTAGGAAGATTACGCCACTTCCGAACCACTATAAATTGCCTCTCTCATTTACATAACGCACTTACATAATTCGCTTTGTTGTCTATTTTATTTAACTAACCCGTTTACTATTCACTATTAATTTTAATCTTTTGGGTTTAGTGTGTTTTCACGTATGCATGTAACTCAAACTTTCTATGCTTAACATTTCAATTATTCTAAGCAAGTTTGACGTGTTGCATGTGACATTTATCATATAGTTGACTTTGCACGAAGTCTTATTTATAATCTTGAATAATATTGTTAAATATTGAGTGAACCATCTCCTTTAAATATTCAAGATATTCTTATCATCTTTATGCATCATTTGAGCATATCTAACGTGTGCATGTGATTCAATTTATTGATTCGGGATAACTCTTTACACATATTCATTCCGTTGTGCACTCCAAATTAAATACTTCTCTATCTACTTATTATTTAGAGTTGAAATTACCAAAGAGTTATTTATTGCAAAAAAAATTTAAAAAGTCTATTCAATCAGCCGGCCTTTATTTTAAGAGGTTGCAGGAAAATGTTGACGGATAGAGGACCTATTAGTGTCCTCCAACTCATACAGGAAGCTAAGTAATAAAAGCACTGATTATCTCACAAAAAATATAGAACAATTTGATAATTGTTTTGGATGCTCCATTAATAGGCATAGTTGACTTGCTAAAAAAATGATCATTTTTACCTAGCGAGGAATTCATGAAATGCAACATAGATTGTGAGTCAATGACCTCCGCTAATTATTTTATTAATAATAACCAAACAAGAGTTGCAACATAGATGACACATAAACGTACATTACCTTATTACAACATAAATAAAACTAGAATAGTAAAACTCTTCTAAGTGTTTCAACAACATAACGCAAGCAGATTGCACCTTTGAGTGTATAACTAAAAATAAAAAACACAAAATGCATTTGCTTATTACTCAGTAGCAGTTGCCGCTTCTGGGTTGAATCTGTTGTTGACGAAGGCATAAAGTTTATCTCTTGGAGGAAAGGTCTCCTTAATTACATCACAGTTGATAAAATCCTGCTTCCACCGACATAAATGAGGGAACTTTTCTTCCGTGACACCCAATTCCACCCCTATAACTTCTTCAAAAACTCCCATCCATAAGGCGATGAAATTGGCGGCTAAATCTGCAAGTCCGAAAGTCTCCCCTCCAAGGAACTTCTTGTTCTTGAGTTCACTGTCCAGAATTTTCAGAGCCTCACAAATTTCCTCTTTTCCCGTCTCTAGCTCTTCGCCTCTGATAAATAGTGCTTTCCTGGCCGCAGAAAAGAACTGCAGATCGAAAATTGAAAAGTTAAATCTTGAAACGGATTAAATAAAAATATATAGTTTAGTAGATTTACTTTGTCGTCTATGAACTTAGCCCAGAAATGAGCCAAGGCTTTCTCGTAAGGATCTTTAGGCAAAATGGGAGTGCCCGGAAAGGTGTCGTCGATATACTCAACGATGACGAGAGACTCAGGTAGTGGGTTTCCGTTGTGCAAGAGCACAGGGATTTTCTTGTGGACTGGGTTGGATTTGAGAAGCAAGGGGCTCTTGTTGGGGAGATCTTCTTGTATGAATTCATACTCAACTCCTTTGAGTTTGAGAGCAATCTCAACAGCTGCGCTAAAAGGGCTTGCCCAGTGACCTAGGACCTTCACTTCTGCCATTATATATCTTTCTATCTGGATCTCAACTTTTGCTACTTCAATTCTGTGTGTCTCTGTTCTGGATGGGTTATTGGCTTCATCATCATTTATACAAGACTGGTGGTGAGTTTTCGTACCATGCAAGAAATAAAGTTTAGTTTTTTTCCCACCGCTTTCTTTACGACTAAACAATATGGACCGGCTCGCAAGATCCAAGAGGCTTCGTATGATGAAAATTTTTGGAAGCTGACCTATTCAGTGATATCATCAAAACAAAAATACAATTGGGTGTTTAGAAAATAATTTCTCAATCGAAGTTTAATTTATCTGATTAATTTTAGTTGTTTCACTCTTCTTCAGATAACTAAAATGAATATTTCATAAACAACTTCTTAATGTTTTTTGAATGCTACCGTCTAGCACAACTCAGCCTCAAACTTATAACTTCTCAAATAAGAATTCAACTCAGGTGCCATTTGGTGTTTCATGAAGACATCTTTCGTCAACTTTTTGAATGAGAAAGAATTATGTTTACCATCATCAATAAATTGCAAAGTCGGTTTATTACCGCTACAGTTAGGCATTCGACAATTGGCATGTGCCACACTGACAGACACAAAGGATGAGCATCTAAGCATGACATGAGAAATATTATTGTTCTAAAATAGTACAACTCTTCTCTTACAAACTTCTCAATCTAAAAAGTGTTTCAACAACTTAATGCAAGCAGATTGCACCTTTTGACTCTTTGAGTCGCTGACCAAAACAAAAACTCAAAATGCATTTGCTTATTACTGATCAGTAGTACTTGGGTTGAGTCTCTTGTTGTTGTAGGCAAAAAGTTTATCTCTTGGAGGAAAGGTCTCCTTAATTACATCACAGTTGAGATAATCCTTCTTCCACCGACATAAATGAGGGAAGTTTTCTTCCGTCACGCCCAAATCCACCCCTACAAGTTCTTCAAAAACTCCCATCCATAAGGCGATGAAATTGGCGGCTAAATCTGCAAGTCCGATTGTCTCCCCTCCAAGGAACTTCTTCTTCTTCAGTTCACTGTCGAGAATTTTCAGAACCTCACCAATTTCCTCTTTTCCCTGCTCTTGCACTTGCTCTTCGCCTTTGGTAAAGAATGCTTTCCTGGTCCCAGAAAATAACTGCAGATCGAAAATTGAAATTAAAATTTAAATCTTGGAACGGATTAAATAAAAATATATAGTTTAGTAGATTTACCTTGTCGTTTATGAACTTAGCCCAGAAACGAGCCAAGGCTTTCTCGTAAGGACCTTTGGGCAAAATGGGAGTGCCTGGAAAGGTGTCGTCGATATACTCGAGAATGACAAGAGACTCAGCGATTGGGTTTCCGTTGTGCAAGAGCAGACTTTCTTGTGGACAGGGTTGGATTTGAACAACTTGTTGTATGAACAGATCTTGTTGTATGAATTCATATTCAACAACTTTGAGTTTGAGAGCAATCTCAACAGCTGCGCTAAAAGGGCTTATCCAACTACCTAGAACCTTCACTTCTGCCATTATCTCTCAACTTTTGCTTCTTCAATTCTGTGTTAACTGCCAACAGCACTACCACTCTACCAGTACAATTCACACTAGGAGAAATCACATTTTAATTACAAACATTATTATACAACAACAAAAACTCAACAATAAAGATTAAATAGCATGTAGTTTTAACAAATCAACATACAACAACAAAAACTCAACAATAATACATTTAATCAACTCAACAATAACAATCTAAATAATAACATCATTACATCAAGATTCAACATTCAAGAATAACAATACATTTAAATTTTTAAACTAGTGAACAATAACAATTAAATAAAATATTAATTAATTAATTAATAAAAAAAATACCTGTACAGAGCATTGAAGGCGTGAAGCAGTCTACTGAGCAGAGTAGAAGATGGCCGTCCGCCCGTCCAGGTCTCCGGTCGCGGCTCCAGTAGGAAGTAGCAGATGTAGCACACTAGCTCCGGTGGCGTCATCCGTGATCGTCCGTCGGCGAGGACTGGAGGAGGGAGGAGCGGTCAGCGGTGGTCCACTGGTCCAGCCGTCCAGGTCGCGGCTCGCGAGGAGCGGTGGGCGGTGGCGTCGTCCGGCGTCTTCCGTCGGCCGAGGCGCTGAGGCGGCGAGGACTGGCGTCGTCCGGTGTCTCTCTGACTCTCTCTGTCGACTGTCTCTCTGAAGAAGTGAAGAGTGAGGAGATTTTTAGGGTTGATTTTCCCCTATTGTTATTCGCCTATTAGGACTTCGGAGTAGTATTCCATATTCAAGACAACATATAATTTTTTTTTTTATTTTTTTATTTTAGGGTTTAGGCATTTTAATGCATTTTTCTTCCCAAAAAATACTTAATACATTAATTATGAAAGGACTGAATTGCCCTTGAGAAAACGACATTAGATGGCCAAATATAACGGAAGCACCATAATGGTTAGAAACAAAAAGTAGGAGGACTGGAAGTGATTGATTTAAAAGTTGAGGACTAAAAGTGACAGTGCCACCAAAGTCGGAGGATATCCACTGGTATTTACTCAAACTAATTGCTTCAGTATAGATGTGCATCTAAATGGATAAAAATTAAATAACACTAAAAGACACAGTACCCGAACTACAAATATCCTATACTTTTGGTTGTGAAAATGTTGGCAATAATTAAATTTGTGGTTGTGAGAGTAATAATTTCGAAAAGAATATTTATATTGAATAATATGGCTTTGCAAAGTATATAAATGGACTATTTATGGAGGTACAAACAGTCTTAGTTAGATTGGGAATGATAAATGAGATATTCACAATAATACAAAGAGAGAGAGAGAGAGGGGAGATGGAGAGGAGATTCTAGTGTGATTAGGATACAGAGTTCTAATACGCCCCTTCAAGCTTGAGGTTCTCTAGAGAGAACATTGAACTTGTTATTGAGATCATTGAACTTTGTTGTGATTAGTGGTTTGGGGAAAATGTCTGCTAGCTGGTCTTTTGTGGAAACGAAATTTACTTGTATTTCTTTTGATGCTATTTTGTCACGAATAAAATGGTAATCAATTTTAACATGTTTTGTTCTTGCATGAAACACGGAATTTGCATACAAATAAGTGATCCAACAAAGCAATAGCTGGACTGATTTGTCTGAGCCCAAACAGGGAATAACGACGTGAATGATTATTGAAGTTTAGAACAAGATGGATTCTTGAAAATAGAAAGATTAGAACAGGGATAATTCTTGAAAGATGCCAGTGAGGCTAGTGTCTAGATATGCCAATGATTTCAGCATAATAATAATAATATATTAAAAGTAACAATTCATTGTTACATCAATATTTTTTAAATTAAATAAAAATATCAGCAATTGAATGACAAAGAAATTAAACCTAATTCCAGTCTTTTTATTTTTAAATCATGTTGACATTTTGATTTTTTCTTTAAGATAAAAATGAAAAAATGATTTTGATTTCTTAATACACGATAACCCCCACCTCGTGGTGGGAATACTCTAGGCATCCTCATCAAGTTGTCTCATAATTTCAATGGAAGCTCTCCAAACCGATCTCCTAAATCTAGCACTCCTTTGCCCTGCAAGTTTGGTCATGATGTCCCCAACATGATTTCGTTCCCTATAAACATTGCTTAACAGAGACCTCTCAGTCCTTTGCCATCCATCTCCTACATGTGTCAACAATATTTCCCGAAGGGCTTCTTATCACTTCTTTCCTATTGACTCTTTTCACAGTGTTTCGGGAATCACTCTTAGTATTTTTATTTTATATTTTTAAATATTGACAATTTTAATAAACACTAATAAAATGATAATGAGTCACTGCCACATAATCGATTTGTAATGTTAGTTGAATCTTGTTAGTTTTTGTATTCGTTTTTATCAATTTTAAAGTACAAAGACTAAATTGATTAAAATTTAAAAGGAGATGCCTTATACATTGACTAAAAAAAGCATTGAATTTCAACAACCGTTGCTGATAGAATGTTATGGGTAATGAATATTATGGCCAATGAAACTAGGCCTAGTAATGAGGCCCAAGTGGATTGGTCAAAAGGACGGCAATTTATATCGTGCACCATGATGTACATAGCAATGGCAAATTATGTTGTGTAACCGTGTGCACCATGCATGGTGTACACAGATGCAAAAATGACATCGTTTTATTAAAAATGCACATCTCATTTAAAAAAAAAAATCAGTTTCGATTCCTAACAACAACATTATGTTGTGCATAATTTGAACTATATATCCATAATCAATGAACTAAAAATTCAGAATCAATGAACTAAAAATTCAGAATCAATGAACTAAAAATCCAGAATCTATGAACTAAAAATACAGAATGAATGAACTAAAAATACAGGATGAATGAACTAAAAATCCATAATGAATGAACTAAATATTCATAATGAATGAACTAAATATCCAGCATGAATGAAAAAAAAAATCAGTTTTGATTTACGTCTAAATATCCAGAATCAATGAACTAAAAATCCAGAATCAATGAACTAAAAATCCAGAATCTATGAATTAAAAATCCAGAATGAATGAACAACATAATGCTGTTGGGGGGAATCGAAACTGATTTTTTTTGTAAGTGGGACACACGTTTAGAGTCAAAACGACGTCGTTTTTGCATCCGTGTGCACCATGCATGGTGCACACGGATGCAGATCATAACGATCCCATAGCAATGTGTACCCAGTTGCTGACGTCACTCCGCCCGTTTAAACGGTCCAAACTCCATTATGTGTATTCAGTTAAAAGTTTCTGTGTATTGTGTTATGAGTTTCTATATATTCAGTTAAGAGTTTATGTGCATTATGTATCATGTTAGATTATGTGTATTCGATTTTGAGTTTCTGTGTATTCTGTTATGAGTTTATGTGTATTCGAAACATAGGATTTTTTTTTGAACAATGTACCAAAACGACATCGTTTTGGGTAGGGCGGTGCGCACAATGCATTGTGCGCCCTGGGGCAAGATATAACACTGCCCAAAGGACTATCACAGGCAAATTATTTTGTGGACCCGAGTTCAAAGAGACACAATTTACATACTAAATTTTCACAATTTACTTTTTAAAAATTTACAGTTTGTGATGATCAAGTATTGTATTAAAATATTCTCAAAACTTAGAAACACAATTTATATCCTAGATGTTCACAATTCCAATAATAAAATACCCAATTTAGAATAAAGAGGACCCCGATCCATGGTATAACAATTGACTATCCCATGTCTAATAAGACCCGAGTTAGAAAACCCATATTATGAGAAGGAAAATGCTTTTTAGCTCTTCTAACTTTTTCTCTCATATTACTTTTTTTTTTTTTTTTTTTTTCATTCAATGGGTGCTCATGAATAAAAAATTAAATATACTCTTAACTTTTATTCTTTACTTTCAAAATTTTGATGTAGACAACTTTTCTTAGATCCACATAATGAAAATGTCATATCTTGATTGTCACACCAAGAAGTATAATTTAGGAGTCTGCATAATAACATGTTTTACATTTAAGAAAAACAGTAAAATGTTTTACAAATATCATTTTATAATTATATATTTATATTTAATCATACTTTGCTATGAGATGATAAGATGAGTGTATAGTAAAGTGGTAGTAGGCAATCTTTGTTACTTAATAATATGTTATAAGTGTTCAAATATCACTATGAGCATATATAATAATTATTTAATACATTAGTTAATATGTAAATATCTCTTTGTAGTAGAGATGATGTCAGTCTAAAATGATTTTCTCAAAAAATTACTTTGAATTTAAATTTTTTATAAAAGAGCAAAATTTACCTTGATATCCCTATTTCGGTTCTAAGTAAAAATAAAAATGTTATAAATCTATTTATTATTTTCTCTTTATTTTCTCAATTCCTTAGATGTGTCAGTTGTCTTAAGCCTATCTAAAGACACATATATTTTAAAATAATATAATAGAGAGTGAATAAGAAAATTCATTAAAAATACTAAAATCAAAATAATATGAACAATTCATTTTAAGAAACAACTACACTAACATTTTTTTTGTTCCAGTTAAGGGTCTAACATTATTGGATCTTATTAAATTTGTATGTAAATGTCAAAATTGAGAAAGTCAGTACAAAATAGTAATAATAATTATTATTATGGGGAAAAATGACAAAGTAAAAATGGGGTGAAATTGAAAATTGTGTATGTTAGATAACTTATACATGTATACGTGTATGTTGAAGTGATGTTCACATTATTATATATGTTGCCAAATTGTTCACTCTCCACAATGAGTTGAATATATATATATATATATATATATATATATATATATATATATATATATATATATATGTGTTTGTTGTGGGTAGTGCACAATTAATCACGTGGTGGACATGCAACCATACACTCCATGCAGCAAAGTAACTAACCATGTTACCTGGCCTCTGGTGAGACATCGACTATAACTTTGTATTATGCTTCTGTTGAGGATTCAACAACTATTTTTTGCTTACTGCAAGCCCATTAAATTATTATTTTTTTATTAATAAAGATAGCAAAACCACTAGTATATGTTCTTGTAGTCATCAGGAAATACTAATCAGAGATCAAAAAAGTATAAATGTCGTTTGAGCCTGATTTCATAAAACATAGCCTATAGTCTAGAGTAGCTTTGACATACCTTAGAACACGCTTTACGGCAACCCAATGGTCATTGGATGGAGATTGCATAAACTGGCAGAGTTACAACGAAGGAGAGATATGGGCGTGCGATGGTTGGATATTGAAGTGCTCCAACTAAGCTGCAGTATTGTATGGGATTGTCATATAGTTGAGATGAGTTTGTTGCACTTACCTTGTTGTTGACGGAAATTGGAGTGGAGATTGGTTAAGATCTTTTGAGTATTTCAAGTATGTACCTTCCTTATGATAAAATCATCGCCCCCTTATCGTGAATTGTCTCGATCCCTATGAAGAAGCTTGAAGCCCTCATGTCTCGGATTTTGAAATTTCCAGCTAGTTTGCTTGTTATGGAAGTCAAGAGACTTTTGTTGATGCTCATTATTAGTATATCATTAATATAGACAAGTAAATAAATTTGAGCATTAGCAACAGAATAGATAAACAATGATACATAAGTTTTTGAAACTTTGAAACCAATCAACTTGAAGACATTTGAACCATGCACGTGGTGCTTAGTTACTTCAAACCTGATAAGAAATATTCTTT